TACAAAATATATATATATATATATATATATATATATATATATATATATAAAGTATCGTGATCGATTTATAGTATAGAATTACATATATTAATATGCTTTCTCTTTGTTTTTTTAATGTGTTAAGAATTATATTTTTATATGAAATTAGGGGTTATAATTTAAAAAATAATAATGGGATTATGTATAATAATAATAATAATATTATTATTATTTTTTAAAAAAAGGAAGGGGCAGGCTTTAGAACAAGAGGTCCAAGGATTCAAAGGAAGGGTCATTATCAAAGGAGCACAGACGATAAAGCTCATGGAATTATATATTCCCCACTTGGTTTCATCCTTTTGACCCATGAAAACTCTTTTATTCAAATGCAAGAAAAATTTTATATATATATATATATATAAGATGTTTGTTTGGCTTCATCATAACAAACATGGAGATGCTTTAAATTTGTAGGTCCATGAATCTCAATAAAAATGTGTACGTTAGCAACGGCCAAGTTTGTTCAAAATCTCATACATAGACAATCCATGTCTGTATTTTGAAATTTGTGGTTGGATTTTGATGGATGTGGTCGGTGGTTGAAGGATTGCAAAACTTCAAAATCGAATAATTTTCCATCACGATGCATTTGTATGGGAATGTGGACATACATCGCACTACAACAAGTAGCTGCAAATTTCACCCGTTTTTTACTAACATTTTCTTAATTTAATAGGCACAAAATTTTCTCAAAAAAAAAAAAATTCCTAATAAACACAATGGGTGGAAAAATCCGACAAAATACTATATTCATTTCTCATCATGACAAACATAGGATGATGATGATGATGTATAAAATCTTGTAGGACCATGACCATGACCATGACCATGAAAAAGAGAAAAGGGGGGTGTGTATAAATAATAAATGGGTAGCCAAGAATCCGAGGGGAAAAAGCTTTTGGGTGAGGTCAAGAGTGTAGGACGCTACCTTGGTTCTTTTCTTGAGGTGAAGGGCTCGTCTGTAAGGAGGTGCGGTGGGAGGTGGACCGGGTCCAGGCACTGGTACGACCGGTCCGGGAGCGGGTAGGACTGGTCTGAATCATACCCCGACAGGTCCCCGCATGCCAAAAAGGGGATATACACCTTGTTCGGTCCTTCAAGCCACCCACTTCTGCAATCTGTTCGGTAAAAGATAATAAAATGGCAATTTGGTTTAGATTTGAACCAAACTAGGGTTTCAGAGAGCAACAAAAAATGATTTTCGGATACCGAAAATGTATGGGCAAGCATGGGGTACTTACTATACACGCAATGCATATGCCGCAGTATAACGGATCTAAATATAAAGCAGATTCCTTTTCTTTCTGGAATAAGCAACAAATCATGGGCATTTCACAAAAGAGAGAACATTTGGATGAGTACGTTGAGAAGGGATACGGAAGCGTACCACTGAACAATGCACTTGTTACCTTGTCTGCACTGCAGTGGGAAACTTGTTGAAAGATTGAGTTCCTTAAAGATGGGATATCCTACCTGAAGACTAAAGTATAATACTTGCGAGACAAAATCGAATGTTTAGGTCAAAGATTCATGCATTAAAGGATAACTGAGGAACTGATATAGTGTTTTTTCTACCCATTTTTTAAGGGTAAAAACTTAAATCTCAATATATACAAGCGAACATTGCTCATAGATAGAATGGGATTAAAAAAAAAGGGAAGCAATCCAATTCATGGAGACTGTGAAGTTGTTCATAAGAGGTAATAATCCTCCTACTGGTGAAGCATGAAAATGGTGAGGAAAGTCGGAGACTTACCGAGTTGACTTCCACCTGAAGGGCTTCCCACCATCTCCAAGAGACGATGCAAATCGCTCGGATTAAATCCTTCCGGAGGGGAATAATTTTCACAGACCGCAAAAGCCTCTATAAAACAGAAAGGAGGAGATCAGGGTTTCAGACGGAAAGCACATATCATAGCTTGGCATGGGGGGGAAAACTCAAGTGAGTAATCATATGTACATGTGAAAGTTGCTCTTACCTATGCCAGAATTGCGGCTGCTTTTTGGTTTTACAGAAGTTACTGTTGGAAAAATAACTGCAGCTGCAGAAATATATGATGCATTTACCATCAGAAATCGTAACAATCAAGAGGTTCCATGTCAACAGCTGTTGGCATTAGTACTAACTTTTTACCCATCTAATAATAGTTAACACTTTCTGGGATCTAAAAGCACAGGAGGGAGACCTTTCGTATAGAAACATCCTCCAGGGTCTTTAACACAATCGCAGATGGACAACTAGAGCGTAAGGCGAAAAGGGCACAAAATCGGAATTTTCAGCAGATAATACAAACTTACCTGGCAGTATAAGAGACACGGAATATCTTTGCAGTCAATTTGCCGCCTTCTCTAAGAATGTGGGTAACAATTGTTAAGCGCTGCAAAAAAAAATGGAGTGTTTTTATTGTCATTATCGATGAACCGAAACCTTATGGGAAATAGTAATGGTTTTCTTTTTATCAAGCATGGCATGGGAGATACTCGAACTCGATCAAAGTCATGAGTGGAAACTATGCAACTTACTGCAAGAATGAGTTGAGATTGGACAAATCCATTCATGTCATGCAAACAGGTAACTGCAAACCAAAATGCAAAAACATTATGTTGATAGCATAAAAGATAAACAACAGAACCGTGAAACAGAAGTAAGCAAGTTGAAAAGAAACTGTATTTACTGTTTTACCATCCGGAGCACCATCACAAACAACCAGGTCAGCCGTGCAACCACCAAAGTGTCTAATGACCTTGAAAAATGCCAAAGAATAACAGTTAAACGCTGATACAAACACGAGCTCCATGCAAGACGAAACACATAATGTCATTCTACCGTTTGCAACTACAAATTCCCCACAAATGCACTGGGAAAAATACGGAAAGATGCTCCGGAATTTAAAGGGGAAGAAAGAAGAGGTGTTGAGCAGGGAATGGATTGCTTCCACAAGAACAGGTTTGAGAATTCTCACCACTTCCGCAGTCTGTGCATTAGTTATGTCCCCTTGGACCTGAATGACACCTTCTGTTGGATCCATGGGCTGCACATCAAGGGCAACTATAAGAGGAAGACCACTGTCCCTGCAAATAATTAATTGGTTTGACGACACTGCCAATGCAGTATTTCAGAAGCAACAAGAAAGGTTTGGCTCTGTCAAGAAGTGTGGAAAGATCGCAATAAAAATAAATAAAAGCACCTGAATACTGTCATTCATGCAATGAAGATTTTCAGTGCTAACCAATACACAGAGAACATGATAAGAGCCATACTTATGACTGCATACACAATCATGCGGAAAAATCAGGCTCAAAAAGAAAATGAGTGATGATAATTCCACGAATTCTTCATCACGAGCCCAAACCATATTAAACTACAAGAAACTTACTTCGACTCAGGCAAAGACTTGACTGGGAGATATATAATTTACGACCCAGGACCTGCAAATCGGAAAGCAGCAAGGTGTCAAGTCAAGCTGCATAGGGACAACAAATGCATAGCTCTTTTCAGTATAATGGTTCCAAGCACCTCACACGTACAAATTCATTTTGATGATTCGATCTGCTTAAACACTCGATATGAAAAAAAATTCAACCAATAATGCATACATGACTCCAGCTACCGGGTGCAGCACATAAATCCACCACCCGTTTCACTCCTGCATATCGTTTCGAAGAACAGGACCATGAATTTTCGCATAACGATTCTTCTACGCAGAATATGGAACGGCCAAAACACTTTGCTTAAAAGCAGAGAATCCATAGCTAAACTAGTAAAGGCTCATCATGAGTTTGGACTTGGTGTCTTGAGTAGAGATGATGGTTCATGAGAGATCATCTCCATGGAAAGGAAACCGAAATGGGATTCAACGATAAACCTTCAAAGATGTTGAATTCCTCATTTATCTGAAGAAGCTTAAACGCACTTCTGGCGCGCCAACCCTCTTGTTTGGCTTATCGATAGTAGATATCCTGCAAACAAACGGTCACAGCAGAAGGACCCAGAGACTATTGTGCACCACAAACATGAAAATGCAGTCGAAGCTTATACCCTTTTGTCCCGCGAAGCTTTTCCCATTTCTCCCTCAGAGACGACATCTAGTTTACTGCAGCGATCAGACAACGCAGGCAATGAGAACAAAATCTGGGTTGCGACAAATGGCAATCATATGTGTCTAAACATGAACAGTAAGAAAATAAAAACTGAAGGGCAGGCAAAGGCAACTTAGACGACAAGGGTGGTGTCTGTGAAGCATTTCCCCGAACAGTGGATGGCATCGAACATGCATTCATAACTGATGAAATTATTGTTGTTCTTTTAGAGAGAAAGGGACCAAATTAACGCTCAGAAAGAGAAGAGATGAAACGGGGAAGGATGACTTCGCGCGAATCAGCAGAAGATGAAAAAGAAATCGAGGGATTTCGAATTTTTTTCTCCTTGTGTGCCCTAACGTTCTGGGAACAAATTAGGCTGCCAATGAATTGCTTGATGAGCCCGTGCTAACTTTAGTTCGATTCACGGGATCAAAGCTATGCGTTGACAAAAATAAGGGAAGAGAAGAATCTTTTTTTTTTTGGAAAACGGAAGAGAAGAATCTTGGTTGAGGTTTTCTCAGTTTCAGGCGTTTTCCCGAGAAAACTAGCAGCTGGTGCCACGCGCCTGGAAGATTATTCACGTCTTTTTTCACATTTTGGCTCCCTCTCAACAGGGAACAAGCACACCCTATGAACACCAATAGCAGCAATTCAAAGAGCTTCCACGCACTTCTGTCCCCACTCGAATCCTCAAAAAAAAGTTGAAAATACAATCAGCAGAAATCACACCCAGCTATTCGAACTCTCCCAGACTTCAATCCCCTCCACATTTTCCCGGGAAATAAACAACCTATCATCGCCGCCTTCGATCTTCTGCAATCACCCCTCTCTCTGAGGACGACGGAGAAAATCTCCGGGTCACGGTCGATGCAGCAAGGAGAGAGTTCGGGAACGAAGATGGGATCGTCGAAGCGGTGGTCTCGAATAACTGGCCGGCAACGTTGAGCTTCACGCCCTAGCCGTGATCGTGAACACTCTTCTCCATGATGCGCCATAGATGGCGCGCGATGGCTTCTGATGACGTCGCAAACAACAATGGGCTTACACCCAATTGTCTTCACTGGATCATTATGCCCCTTGCCATTACGTTACAAATCAAAATGGGCCGATTTTCAAATTACTCAAAATAGCCCATTACAAAAGTCTCGTCTTTTAACATCTTTAACATAAAAAAAAAAACCATATAATAAAATTCTACGGGGGAACCGTACCACTAAACTTTTGCATCACTGTCCTTTTCCAGTTTATTACAATATATATATATATATATATGGATAAATGCGTGTGTAATTAATTAGGTTGAGAGATATGAAATTTGGGCCAACAACATCCCTCGAAGCATTGGGTTCCAATCTTGTTAAAGAAAATGCTTTAAAATCGTGTTCTGTCACTTATAACCAATCATGGAACCCTCTCTCCCTCTAGCCAATGGGTTAATCTCAATATTCCAAAATCATAAACTCTCTTTCTAGGTCTTGCCCAATCTCTTTTGACCAAAACAATGACACAATGCTTGTTGAGTTTACAAACATTATTATAATGTTACATACATACGTTTTAATTTAGCATACAAGTATATCCATCAAAATCTTGTATAGCCCCACATATTTAGATAGAGCATAAACTATAGATTTTATTTTTAAAATCTGCAATATTTCAACTTAATACATGTTTAGAATCCATTATAGATATATGGGATGAATAAATTATTCGAATGTATTTTGATATTCTATTCAAATTAAATTGAATAATCGGTTAGGTTTAAGATATTCCTAGTTTCAAATGAGATGGGAAGTGCAACTAAATGCGCCATGGCCGTAGGACAAGTTGAAGGGTCACTAAGGGCAATTCGTTGCAATATCTTCTTTGTAAGATGCATAATAAAGGCTATTTCCGTCTATATCTCGGTGCCTTGGCCCGCAATTTGACTGAGGAAAACCTTTAATATATTCCAATGATACCGATAGCATTAATTAAAAACAATTTTTTTTGGATTTAATTTATATGCAATGCAATTATTTCTTAAGCAATGCACAACTATTTGGGGGAAAAAAAATCCTAATTTATATTGTTTGTCCACATAAAATGCTTAATTAAGAGATATACCAATTTGAGAAAACGTAAATTTGTTTGTTTTTCATGTAAGTTAATTTCGGAACCATTTTTTAATAAATTTCTTATAACTTGGTGTTGAATTTGTATTGTTTTATCGAGTATTCTCTGCTTCGTTTTTATTTTCTTTTTTTTTTTATTTTCTTTTTTTAAAACAATATATATATATATATATATGTTACTCAAAATATCATATTTAAGAAAAATTGCTACAGCTTTTTTTTTAAAAAAAATTTACAATTTCAATAAAATATTATGATTTTTCTAAAACATGTTTAGGTTGAACATCGAATAGAATAAAGTAAAGGTGTGTGTGAAAGATGGGCCTCATATTTAGCTATCATGTCAATAATCGTGAATTCTTAGAATTATAATGTCTTTTCAATAATCATGTAAAATTATATGCTTTCAACGAGTTGACATACCAACAATACGAATGGTCGGTCTCACAAACGCAAATGGATTTCATTTCATAAACCATACAATAAATTGTCTCCCACCAAATCTTATAATCTCTCTCTCTCTCTCTCTTCCCAATTCTTTGCAATAAAGAATATGCTTTTAACTCATTTTTTTTATGAAAAAAAAACATGGCCTTGTTACATATACTTAAAAAAAAATCACAATATTTTTAACAAATTTTCAAGACTTGATAATGAAAAAATGGAAAGAGTCGAGGGGCAGAAATGGAAAAGCACTTCCAGTATTCGATCCCTATTGAAAAGACCCAAAGCGGCATCGAGGTCCATTAGCTTCTTCGTGTTGCCTACCGCACCAAAGCCCATAAAATATCTCATCTCGAGCAGCTACGGTCCATGTCAAAGCAAAAAAAAAATGATAATAAATCCCTAAATTAAAATTATGTTCATATAAACACGCCTTTACCTTTCTGATCTCATGTTTTTTTTTAAATGCTAAAAAATACGCCTTTACCCAGAAAATATATAAACGTGTTAAAGAACGAACAAAGTCAGCAGATCTGACGGCCCAGAAAAGGCGAGTGCACGGAGAACACTTTAAGAGAAACGTAGAGGAATACGAACGGGAGGTGGGGTTCAAAGGCTTGATGACGCGCGTGGGTTTGCTTTAAACGCGTGTAAGTGCAGTGCGCATATCGGCTTGGCTTGGCTCACCTCAAGCCGACTTCACTCATAGTAATGTGAAAAGGGCAAAAAAAAAAAAAGTTGAAATAAAATAAAAATCAACGTTCAAATTTTTGAAGCTGGGTAGATAAGAAGGAATAAATAAATTGTAAATAATTACAGTACGGTTAACTGTTTATTTTATTTAAAAAGAAAAATAACGTAAACCATGAGAATTCATGGAGCAATATAAATTAGTTCTATTATACAGGTAAAAACCCAAGTTCACTTTACGCATGGGGAAGTGACACCCGCCAACTAATACACTGTTTTCTCCGTGAATTTTGGACATATATATACGCACACATGTGTGTATATATATTATATGTATCTAAATATATCAAAATATTTTTTTGTTTACAACAAGTATTTTATAGTTACAGTTTATGAATTTATGATCGTATTAAATTGTGTCTGATAAACAAAGATATCCGTCATTAAAAACCAAGGCAGAGGTGGAAAGAAAAGGGGAAGGCTTTTAAACAATGGTAATATATAGAATTAATTACAGAGGAAGTCCCAAATGGTGGAACCGCAGAAGGCAGGTAAAAAGATAAAGAGAGAAGAGACGCAAAAGCTTCCTGCTTTTATGCTCTCTCTCTCTCTCTCTCTCTCTCTCTGGCTCTGAGTTTCGTTGTATTGTCTGTGGTCTGAGCATATTTATAGGAAAAGTCGGCGGCATTAAAACATACAGCATTTCATTAGTGAAGTGCGTTACAGTGTTGTTCACTGTTTCTGTTCCAATCTCAGAGCTTTATTCTCTCTCTCTCTCCCTCGGAACAGAGCACACAATCTTCTCTCTCTCTCGTTTCTATTCTCTCTCGCTCTCTCTTGTTCCATCTCTCTCGCTCTCTATATATAGTATAGTTTCGGACACTGTGTTTGGCTTCTGAGATTAGAGAACGAGACAGAACAAGAAGTTCATTTCTTCTCAGAAACAGAGGTATAGTACGGCTCGAGCCCGGTCTCGTTCTGGTTTTTCTTTCATATTTCACCGTAAGAAACACATTTCTTGTTTCTTCTTTGTTTTTTTGTGGGGTTAAAGGGTATTTCTTTTTCTTGAAAAAGCTGCTGTTTCGTTCACCATAGTTTGCCATCGGTGTATCTCAGATTCTTCCAAATTTCTCCTTGACAGTCAGAGGGTTTTTTTTTTTTGGGTGTCCTGACCATTTGAGGTGTACGGATCAGCCAGCACGCGTCCGGAGAAAGGTCGGCGGGAAAATGTCGAGGGAGCAGCAAGCGGAGGAGGCGATAGTGGTCTCCGGCGGAGGAGAGGCGGAAGACGACGTCGGAGGAAAGGCAGAGGAGACGGAGGATGTCTCCGCCGGCGCCGGCGGCTTCAGCGTGAAGAGCTTCCTCTGGCACGGCGGCTCGGCCTGGGACGCCTGGTTCAGCTGCGCTTCCAACCAGGTACTATATATACACACATACATATATGTGTATATGAACTGCGTGAATCCATGAAAAGAGCTGTGCTGGTGATGGGTTAACTGCAGGTGGCGCAAGTGCTGTTGACGCTGCCGTACTCATTCTCACAGCTGGGGATGATATCGGGGATATTGCTTCAGATATTCTACGGTCTCATGGGGAGCTGGACCGCTTATCTCATCAGCGTTCTCTACGTCGAGTATCGAGCTCGCCAGGAGAAACAAGGCAAATCCTTCAAGAACCATGTCATTCAGGTATACACCCCTTTCTATATAGTTTTCATTTATATATATATATATATATTCAAACACCACCCTTGATTTATTCGACGAAACTGTAATGTATTTTTACATTATATATGTATATGTATACGTGTATATGGAAGTGGTTCGAGGTGCTTGATGGATTGCTGGGTCCGTATTGGAAGGCAGCAGGGCTCGCATTTAATTGTACCTTCTTGTTATTTGGATCCGTCATACAGCTCATCGCTTGTGCCAGGTAACCTTTTTACATCTCCGGTTATGCCGGTTTAATTTTTGTTTGGTCCGGTTTAGTGTAATATTTTTACATCTCATCAAATGACTTAATTGTTAGTTTTAATTTCGATTTTTTTGTTTGGTTACAAGTCGGCCCAAACGCATGTAATTAATGTAAAGACATGGTGGTGTTTGTGTGTAATGTGGAAGAGCAGCAATATATACTATATAAACGACAGGTTGGACAAAAGGACATGGACTTACATATTCGGCGCGTGCTGCGCGACGACGGTGTTCATACCGTCGTTCCACAACTACCGCATTTGGTCGTTCCTCGGCCTCGGCATGACCACCTACACTGCTTGGTACCTCGCCGTCGCCTCCTTCCTCCACGGCCAGGTCTCCCATTCCACGTGGCATTTTTTAATTATTACTATTATCCTATAAAATTAAAATTATTGCTGGAATAATAATATATGGTTTTTAGGTGGAGGGCGTGATACATTCTGGTCCGACCAAACTGGTTCTCTACTTCACGGGAGCCACCAACATCCTTTACACCTTCGGTGGCCACGCCGTTACTGTGTATGTTTTTTCATCCCTTAATACTTATATATATATATATATATATATATAGTATAATAAGCAGAATATTTTAAATAATCAGATAAAAATTATTAGAACTTTGGAAGGATCAGAATATTATATACCTTCCATTACACATTTATAGCATTCTGAATTTGTCATTATACAAGTTGGAAATAAATACTAGAAAAAATAAATAAAAGGTGGTCTTCTTTCTGCCGTACGAACGTTTTTATCTTTTATATAGAAAGAGGTAACATAAAAGATTTTCTTTCTGCACTTTTGTTTTTGTTTGGATTTTGCTCGGCTTCAATCTGCAGCTTTTGCCTGGTACTTTTGGGTGTCCGGACACCAGACAAAATCATTCTGTCAAATTATTTACCAGAGAATATTTTCGCTTTTATTTTGGTCTGAGATGAGAGATGTATAATACAAAAAAAATAAATTATTAAAACTCAATTTTTTTTTTCGCTCTCTCTGGCATCCGAAGAAAACTCATGGGCAACCCATCTAAAGTAATTGTCTGTTCTGTTGTGGTTCTTGGTTATGGAAAAACCAAAACCGAACCGGTTTCTGGTTACTAAAGAATGACTCGTGTTTTCACAAACAAATATATGAGTTTGAATCTGGTGAATATGAAAACGCTCGTCATCATCCTGTACAATCACTTGCATCATTTTTTCTGAAATTTGAACTGTCGGGTCGGAAGGGTCAATCTTTGGTCGGACCCAGAGAACCGATGCAGAAATCTGATTCATAAAGTCTGGATTCTGGTCGAGTTCCATCAAATCTCGACGATAAGATGCTATGAAAAGACATTTATACCCTCGTTCAATCGAATGTATTATTATTAATAAATTGATTTCAGGGAAATAATGCATGCGATGTGGAAGCCGAGGAAGTTCAAGTACATTTACTTGCTTGCGACGCTGTACGTGTTCACGTTAACGCTGCCGTCAGCCTCCGCCGTCTACTGGGCGTTCGGAGACCAACTCCTCAACCATTCCAACGCCTTCTCTCTCCTCCCCAAGACCGGCTTCCGTGACGCCGCCGTTATCCTCATGCTCATTCACCAGGTCTGAACATATATATATAGGCTCTTGTTTTAGGTTGAATGACTTGGAAGTTTGGATACCCTTTCACGTAATTATTCTTTATTTGGGACGAAATGAGAGATTCATATAGTTAATCTCATAAATAAACGTGATCTAATATATATGTTATATATGCAGTTTATAACGTTTGGGTTCGCATGTACGCCGCTGTACTTTGTGTGGGAGAAAGTGATAGGGATGCATGAGACGAAGAGCATATGCATGAGGGCGTTAGCGAGGCTACCGGTGGTGGTGCCGATATGGTTTTTGGCCATCGTTTTCCCATTCTTCGGTCCCATCAACTCGGCCGTGGGGGCTCTCCTCGTCAGCTTCACCGTCTATATCATCCCCTCCCTTGCCCACATCCTCACCTACCGCTCCTCCTCCGCTCGCCAGGTTCTTTGAATTCGGCAATTATTATTCATATATATAATTAAGAGTGCTATATATTAATGTATAGAGGATCCTAGGTTAAATCTAATTATATTAATTACAATAGTACCTTTACCCTACATTGGTTTATAGATATATAGTGAAGTTTATGCATATGAAAAATGTAAAATACGGGAATTACCTAAAATTTGTAGCATTCCTAAGGACCTTGTAAGGGTAACGTTGGTAGGTTTCGGTCCAACATATATCGGGATCGGGGTGAAGGGAAAAAAAAACTTATAGTCTAGAATGGAAAAGAACATGTAATTTTAATTCAAGCACTAGTCCCTAATCATGACCTTAGATCTAGATAGATGTGTACATGTGCTAAGGGTGTCTTTATGCTCACAAAAAGGTTGGGAAAATCATTGCTTATGTTTCTCTATAGCTGCTAAAGGGCGTCATTGGTGCACCGATTCTTGGACGTATGTTATTTATGGACTTTATCCTATGCTTCGGATTAGATGGTTTTTGGTATTAATACCCAAAAGATTGGGGAAAAAATAATAGTAATTTGAGGAGAGAGAGAGAGAGAGAGGGAGAGGGAGAAAATGATAGATAGGTAGTGTGTCCCAATCATTGAGTTATGCACCTAAACATGTTGAAGGATGGAGTGAGTCCAATCTTGTCCTTAGATTAGCTGGCTTGACTTTTCGCATTTAAATTCATCACCTAACAATTTTTGTTATGTCACATTTATAACCCTAGAAAACATCTTTATCCGTATCCTCGTCAATTTCGATATCCAATGGTCCAAAACATTATTCGCATGCGCAAACAAAGCATTATTTCTATACACTAAAAAAAAATTTGAATGCAATGGGATCTAACTCTTGGCTGTATGTTTTCCGGCGGTGATGTGGCAGAACGCGGCGGAGAAGCCGCCGTTATTCATGGGGGGATGGGCCGGAGTTTACGTACTGAACGCATTCATAGTGGTGTGGGTGCTGGTGGTGGGGTTCGGGTTCGGCGGCTGGGCGAGCATGACCAATTTCATCAAGCAAATCGACACTTTCGGCCTCTTCGCCAAATGTTACCAGTGCAAGCCTCCCCCCTCCCCCGCCCATCTCCACCACCCGTGATTGAGCCACCCTCCTCTTGGTTTCACATATATACATACATACATATATATACATATGTATGGGGTGGTTTTGTATTAGGGTTTGATGATTTCATTTAGTTGTTTACAATTTGAACGTATATGATATGATGGTTCCTTTTGCTGTTTATTGTTAATGGGGGGAGAATTGTTGTGTTGTATAGCTTGGAGACATCACGTGGTGAGCGAGCTGGTTCACGTGCCCATGTTTACACTTGGGGACAAATGCAGTTCCTAATTTGTAGACTTGCCAATGATCGAACAGCCAAACTATACTAAGACCGTAACCACCGAATCAAAATTAATATAAAAATCGGATGTTTACAAATTAAAAAAACGAGTTTATAAACCAAATCGAATAAAAAAAAATAATCGAAACTAATTTTTTTTTTTAAAAAAATGAGTATTTTTTTAATCAATAAACTTAATTTGAACCGAGATAGAGAGGCATAACATTTACATACCAATCCCTTTCAAGTGTGTGGAAGACACGGAGAAAAGCATATAATATATCGGTTGATGGAAATAATACATGATTGGCGAGACGTTTTGATTGAATATTCAAAGCTATGAGATTAAAGTCAATGTATATAATTAACATGGAATTATGGTAATTAATAGCTGGAAGTATATTGTGGCATTGAAAGTAAGAACACGAGGAATCGAAGATTTAAACGTGATAGGTACGTAGTGGCCTCGCGTGGAATCTTTTACCGCATTGTTGCTTTGTTCGGTAAAAGGCATTGTGACTAATTTTTCTTAATGCTTTTAAGTTTATTAAGATTTGACAACTCTATCCAGATTTTTTTTTAACAATCCGAAAATTTTATGGAACTTTTTACCTAATTACATCTTTTAAAAAGGATCAGAAAAATCCAAATAAATATCCCGTAAATTTTTTTTACCACATCTCTTACCAGCTAAACTATCGCGTTTTGGAAGATAACTCTATCAAATTAGTCCTGTCCCGAGTTCAAATCACAATTTTGGATAGGATAACGTTATTTCAATCACATAGTATACTCTCACTCCCAAGATTGATCTAGACCTTGGTTCAAAACACCCGATTACCCAGAAAAAATCTATAAAAGTATAAAAAGAAGAAGAAAAGGTTAAATCAGAAAACGTTTGGCATAAATATAGAATTTAGAAAAAAGATCTATAAATGGGCATCAAACCGCTCCATAATTGTGTGATAAGAAGCCCATAAAAGTGGAATGGAATAGTAAAATTCAGTAGGCCCAATAAAAGCCCAAATGAGTGACGACAACGAACTCAACTCTTGACAATACGCACCGTTTTACCCGTAAAAAAGAGCCCCACATTTGAATGAATCCCTCCCTCTCTCCAGGAGGCCAGGAGGTGCAGTGCAGATGCTTGGTTATGGCGGTTCTCCTACCTCCGCGTCTCCCCCTTCGGATCGTTACTCGAAGGTTTTCTTCTTCTTTTGTTGGTCTACGTTTCGGAACTCTTGTTGTGAGATGAAAGTTTCGCCTCGGAGATGGTTTCGTCGATGTTCTTCTTCCGGTGAAGCTGATTCCTCATGTGCTGGTATGTTGCTATTCGCCTCTCAGCTTCCGAATCTTCCGTCTCTGGGGAGTAGGAATCGAGAATAAATTACATACGTTGTTTCTTGGAGAGCGTAACGGTGAGTATCGATGGTTTATGGAGGGCGATTCAAGCTTGGAAATCTAGGGATCATGTGCTCTAGCCGTAGAAACTTCTGCATTCTGTGATTTTTATGTATCTAAAATTCGAGGTTATCGTTCCTGTTTTTGCGTCATCCACACTGGAATTAACGATCAAACGAACGATTCTATGATACAGAGACCGAGATGGAAAAAATTTGCTCCCCACCATTTATCACAGACAGATTCTGTTCTGTCAGTCTTCACCTCTGCACATATTTGCAAATGATGCAGTTGTCTGAAAGTTTCAGACTGAAACCAATCTTCTTGTGGCACTGCCTTCTTCCATTTCGAGTTTCTTGCTAAATTTGTTCCATAAATGCAGGCGCCCCATATATTTCCGTTGAAAGTCAATGCAAAGTCTTCTATGAATTTGAGCGGGAGGGGATGATTCTTGTCGAATATTAGGACAACGTTGTTCAATTGGTCCAGTTTCTTGACGATGGGGCAAGAGACTGAGCCCCGACCACTTTCCTAAGCCCTTTAAAGCTTTTCAGAACGATCGTGTCCGTGTCGAGGTAAACGCCTCCGTATCTGTACAGAGCTGCGACTCTCGGTAAATTTGACAGATTCTGAGCTAAGGAGATCTTACCAGGAACACGTTTCCCAGTCTCCATCTCTGCGAGCCATGATTCACCAACCGTGTTCTTGAGAAGAAAAGGCAAGTCGGGGGTGATGGCAAGAACTTTATAGCCCTGGTCGTGAAAAGGTCTCAAATTTATGTAGCCCTGAGGAGAATCCATGGTTGCTGATAGGATCATCAAGCATCCAAGGGGATGAGCTTTGAAAACGCTTTCAATGGCTAAGAGTTCTCTCCTGCCGAAGAACTCTGCAGGCGATATCCATGTCATGATGAAGTTGACCTCGCACCCATCACTGATAAACTCTGTAACTCGCCGGTCGAACTTTTCTGGCAAATTGTTTTTCCTGAAAATCTCAATCAACTGAAGCGGTTGCTCGTTCATTGTGATGTTCAGGATACGAGGAGGAAGCTTCACTTGTGTCTGCTGCGTGATCACCTGCCAGCGTTTGCATTTTCCTTCTCTGAACTGAGATGTAAGTATGGAACAACTGTCTTGATTTCTATCTTCACCTCCGAGAAATCTGTCGACTGAATCGATAAATTAAGCACCATAACGATGATAAAGATGAACAAAGTGAAGACAAAACCCGTGAAGAGGGATGATCCCGAGCGGTTTAGCCGCCGGTGATCAAACATGGCAGATATTTTCTTGCTTGTGTCATGATGATCCATGAGAAATAGATTCTCTCTCTCTCTCTGGTTTCTCGAGTTTATCGTTTTGACTAAGAATTAACGATGTGTTTGTGAAAAGTTCCAAAGGCCTTTCAGGGACCGGTGAACATGATGACATAAGCTTTGATGATGTAATGCTATAAAGTTCATGGGGTCCCTAACTTGTCAAATCTTTTATTTATCCATTCGTTTTTTCTCTCTCTCTTTGAATTACGAGTTTCTTTTTCTTTTTTAAACTATTGAGAATACTTAGTTTATATATAAAAATGTTAATTTACATAACATTATTAAAAATTTCTCACATATTTTATGTCAATATAGATGAGAAACCTAACAAAAGAAGAAGAATACAAAACTAACTGTATTGCGTCTATATAATGCAGTTTTATTTATCATTAATTATGAACAGCTACTAAAAAAAAATACAACAGAAAATTGCCAAAATGCTATACCAAAAAAAAAAGGAAAAAAAAAATACAGACACCGCATACGTGTGTGTATAAACAACAACTAGGTACTAACTAGTAGTATTATATATTGTATGGTGCAATGAATCAAAGAGGGGATGAAATCATCTATCTAGGAGCCATATGAGTGATGCTGCCAAAGCTGAAAACAGAGTTGGACGACGACCGGTGGTTATTAGGACCACCGCCACCTGCTTTCCCTTTAGACGACGAACTCTCCTCCTCCTGGGAGCTGCGGGCACGGCGGCGGCCTCTGTAGACGCCGGGCTGGGTCAGTGCGCTCTCGTTTAGGTTAATGTCTTTTCTGGAGAGCATTTCCACCACTTGGTTCATGTTTGGTCTCTTTTGGGCGGCGGCTTGCGTGCAGAAGAGTCCCACTTTTATGAACCTTATCACTTCCTCTTCTGGGCAGTTGCTCATTTCCTCGTCTATCAACTCCCCCATCCTCCCTTCCTCTCTCAGCTTCCACGCCTGAGTGAGAGAGAGAGAGAGTATTAGTCTCCATAAGATGAATGAAATCACTTCCATAATCCGGTGGTATATGACCATATTGTTTCATATAGATATCTACAATGTCAGAATCAGTCCTTAGTTCTCGGTTTTCAGATAAAAGAAAAGTTTAGATAGCATACCCATTCGACGAGAACCAAGAACTCGGCTCCAAAGGCTGCCTTGCTGCTGCTACAACCGCTTATTATCTCGAGGACGAGCACCCCGAAACTATAAACGTCTGCTTTCTTCGTCAACTGTCCTAAACGAGCGTATTCTGGGGCCAGGTATCCCCTGTAATAATCTTAACTCTATCAGTAGCAACATAGCTAGTTAGTTACACCAGAAGAAGGTTTCGTAAGATGATATCCTTACACTGTTCCCGCCACCCGGGTGCTGACATGAGTTACATTGTCTGGGAAAAGCTTTGCCAAACCGAAATCTCCAATCTTGGGAGAAAACTCTCTGTCCAGAAGGATATTACTCGCCTTTATGTCTCGGTGTACAATGTGGGGTTCTGCCTCCTCGTGAAGAAACGCTAGACCCGAAGCCGTGCCTAGACAGATCGCTGCTCTTTTGGACCAATCTAGCGGAATGTATTTGCTCTTCGAACCTAAAACATCCACAAACATTAGAAACCCTAAAACCCGTCTAACAAGAAGAGTTTTGGGTTGTGAATGATTAGATTATAAAGGGTACCGAGCAAGACACTAGAGAGGCTGTTTTTCTCGAGGAATTCATAGACAAGAATCCGTTTGTTCCCTTCAACGCAGCAGCCAATGAGTTCAACAAGGTTCGGGTGATGAATGTTTGATATCATGTCAATCTCGGTCAAGAATTCTCTCGTTCCTTGTTTAGATTCCGCTGAAAGGGATTTAACAGCTACTTGAGTGCCATCCCTCAAGACTCCCTGCGAAATTCAATCGGAATCGAAACCTTCGACAAAAAAAAGGCAATGAATGCGGATGTGAAGATCTTCTTCTCTCACCCTGTAAACAACTCCATAGCCACCTCCTCCGATTCTGTTTGAAGGGTGGAAATCAGCAGTGGCAGATCTTAACGAGTTGTATGAGAACACCCTCACATTGTTGGTGACAATCTCTAAAACCATCCACACAGATGCAAACAACTGAAGCTTGTGAGATCACACAACAAAAACAGGACAAGAAACATAAAAAAAACTTCTTCCAAGACGTCATGAACATGTCAAACGGTCAGCCATGGCTGAATTCTATAGATTTCTTAGCTATTCTTCAGAACCCTAATCCGAGATTTTCCTGAATTCTATATATAATACTGAAAATATCATTTACCAGAGAGAATCCATAAGCATCATTCATCAAATTGAATACCTTGCGCCTCTCTCTGGCCAAGGCCATCACTTCCTTTGCACATGTCAAGAACTCCAAAACAGTTGCAGCGCATTACAAACCCTAGAAAATTCCCCTACCCCACGTGAATTCGATCAGCACCAGAACCCACGAACTCGAACCCAGAAGATAAAATGAGAAAACCCCGAAATTGGGTTGAGAAATTTCGACTGGAAACTGCTGATGAACACAGAAACGCCCAGAATTTAACCTGTCTCCTCGATTTCTTCGTGTCTTAAGTGCCGTCTCCAGAAGGGCAACTCTCAGTCGGATTTTGGAAAGTGGGGAAATTTCCGTAGGGCTCGAAAGAGAAGAAGATAGTGGTTTTGTGGAAAATCAAGCGAAAAACTATTGAGCAAGGAACAACAAATGATGGGTTTCCCTCTACTTTCAGGTAGTTTTCAACTTTTTCGTGAGGTCCCTTCATAAATATTCAAGAACGAACAAAAGCTAAACAAATACCTTAAAGGAGCTCATGAACGGAGAGAGACAGAGAAGGACGTTAAAAGTGTTGGACACTGTGGACGTTTCGGTTCGGTGGTTCTAAGTAAGCCTGCCGAACCGAAAACCTTTTTATTTTTCTCGAATCATACTATTTAAAATTTTTAAATTTTTGAACAGCATATTTTTTATATTTTTATAAAATCGAATTTTTTGAAACAGAACCGAATTTTATAAAATTTTCGAAAAATCATTCTTTTTAAGAAAATCTATTTTTTTTAAATAAAATCTGAAACCGAACAGTATCAAAACTAAACCCGGATCAAACCGAATAATATACGAAATTAATTTAATATAAATTTTAGAATACCGAATAAACTGTTTCAAACCGAACCACTAAAATTTCGAACGGAATCCCGAAACCGTACACTTGGGATATATATTCTTTGGTTAATTAATTTCTCCGAGCAACAAGATTATGGAGTGATCAGCGCAATAATTTTTGAATTAATAGAATCTAATTTTAATTTGTCACCAATAGTTATGTATATGATTGATACAACAAACGAACCAGCTGCCGCCTTTCGATGTGTGATAATAATCCAGAAAAATACGCTGATTTTCTTATTTATATATATATATCAGATTTTTTTTTCTAATTTAAGTTTACTAGTTAGGTGAAATGTTAACATTAAGCTCGCTGTCAATTGTCAAACCACACGATCCCTTAACTGTCCAAATTCCCTGCTCCGTTCAAATTACTGTGCAGTATTTTGACCTTATTATTATTATGGAAAATATCATATTAATATACGATAAAAAAAATCCTAAATAAATATGAATTTTAAAATTCTCAAATAAATATATAAATTTATAAAAAATTTAAATAAATATATGAATTTAAATTTTTTAAATAAATAACTCTTTCTAACACCTATATTAAATCTTGAACTTTTTAAAAATAATAAAAATAAATCATTAACTTTTATATGATTTTTAAAAAGCGTCACAAAATTAAACCATAAAATTTTAAATGAGTCTTACATACCACCATAATATGGTAGTTTTTAAAAACTATTTAAAAGTTCAAGTTTTAATGAAGAAATTAAAAAAATGTGTATTTTTTTTAAATTTTAATATTTATGTATTTATTTAGATTTTTTTTTATAAGTTCGTGTGTAAGAAAAGTTAACACGCGGTTATTATTATTATTATTATTATTATTATTGTTATTATTATTATTATTATTACCACGGCCAAAGCTAAACAATGTGAAGCGTATTTATATAATTATGATATATTACTGAAACAAAATAAAGATAATCAAAGTTGACATTACAAATTATATTCCACTTCGAGTCCACATAGAAATGAGGCGTTTGAAGCACAAATTTGGAAATGGGAGGAGGCGTTTCCACATGAATTGTGAGACAAGACTCAGGTTTCTTGTTTGCCCTAACCATTGAAAAAGCTTTGCCACTGTCACCCTCCGACTTGTACCGCAAGTAAAGAAACAAACACAAATCTCACACAAGGATTTGTTCTATCATCAAAGAAACACGATATATATCCTAAGGTTCATTTTATATCCTGCTGAGACTATATAATATACAGTCAGGTTCATTAGTGATATATAATAATATGGGCATAACGGACAATTGGAAATGATTATAGATATAATAAGCTCCCATCAATACTTTAAATAAACATTTTATTTCACCAACACCCATTCACTTGGGAAATAGTCATATTCCATCATATGATTACTTGAGGTTTTTCTTTTAGCCACAATATTGTCAAGGCCAATACCTAAATCATAGGATGATGAACTCAGCGATCAATTCCAGACATACCCACAAACAAAAAATAATGAAATCTTCTCACCATTCATCCATTGATCTTGCCTACTCTGTGAGGAGGCCACACTACGTGAGTGACCCTTCCTTGAATTAAACCCAATGGAATCTGCCAACAATTTTTATGGAATATCAAAACAATGTTTTCAAACTCGGACAAAGCCTTAATCTTACTACTAACTATGATTCTCTGTCCTTTTTTTTTTTTCATTTTCTTGAATTATGAATCAAAACTATAATATGAAACCGCATCTATTCTAGTGGGTGTAATATGCAGAAAACCTATAGCATAAGCATACTTACGGGGCCAAAGGCCTTAGAGTCAAAGCTTGAAGCATGGTTATCTCCCTCTACCCAACAATGCCCTTCCGGGATTTTGATCACATCCTGCGAAGTCCCGATCCATTCGCCGGGCAATCCAACAATCCTCTTTATATGTCTTTCCCCGAAATGAGTCGGAGAGCTGCCACAAGATTGCAGCTACCGTTAGATGAAACCCGTTGAATTTTCTGAACTTCTCATCATCTCAGCAAATTTAAATATATCAAGAATTTCCATCAGAATACCACCAAACATGTATTCAATTGGATTATCTCCTAGGGGATTTGATGTATGTGAGCATAATTATCTTTTATAGTCAAAGAACCAGTTGGAAATCCCAATTGAACTATGGATAAAGTAAGATGCATGCACACTAGCAAAAGTTAAGCATTTTACTGATAGATTTGTCTTAACCTTCATCCATGATATATGCAAGACTATCAGCTCGTAAAATCCATACTAGAGTTGCCTCTGAACGAAATTATAGGGGGAGCTTACCAGAACACTACCACATCACCACGTGCAAACTTGTAATTTGTAAGGCAAAATTTTTCCACAAGAACATAATCATCTGCACCGACCAGTAGAATTGTTAAGAAAGAAACACTGACCAACAGTAGCAGGAACTACTTTCTATCATTCTCGACTAACATATTACCTATACGAGAATTTCTCTGGGGATTGAATGTTGGAGACATGGATTCTCCTCTCACTGGAACAACGCTACAGCATCTATCTGAAATCGTCAACCCTATAATCCCTCCAGTAAATGACTTCTTTGCTACATCCCATAAAAAATTCCGTGTTCCCATGTCTGAAACCGTTAGCTATAGATTCATCTGCACCAAAACCACAAGGCTGCAATACATCACAATGCCATTCACATATATGCCGCTGTAAGCAACTGGATAGTGCAAAAACGCAGTGACAACAACCCTCAAGTAATCTGCAGCAAGTTGTGCTGGAAGTTGATGTTTATATGTAGAGGACCTTTAATTTGATTCATAACTTTTCATTCATGTCAATAGCAAGCAAACCCTACAAACCCATCAAAGTTATTTCACCAATAAACTCTCTGGTCATCCAAAAAAATTTTCTGCTGAGCAAGCATGAAGACGTTGATATATTGCAACCAATAACATTTATATAGAAGTTGCTCAATACACAATTTCTAGCCAAAATCTCCATCCGAAGATAAGAAACCTCACAGGAAGCTGAGGTTCTTCAGTTTGTGTAAGAGCAAGACAACCAATAAAAGTCACGAATAGTATAGAATCCGACAATTGGTCCGAGACCAAAGTTCCCTTCATGTTTCTCCTCGGATACGAAAAGCGCCATGAAGAACACCACTCCGAAACATGATTCGACTCTCTTCACGATAAAACAGCAGTAGGATTACTAATTCGCGCATACAGACACAAAAACACGGAACGAGAATCTCCGGCCAAAATGCAAACCCAAAAACCTAGATCCATTTTATACCTCATTATACAATTCGGAGCAGGAAAATCACCTGAAAGACAAACTACGAGATGAAATCCAGTAAACAAAAACGCCTGCTGAATCTTTTCTCGATGCTGAATCTCTGATCAAGTAAATCAGAATCCTAGATGACGAAACCCTACACAGAATCCCCAGCAGATTACAGAAGAACCCTACGCAGCTCCGCCGTTAGTGGAGCTGCGTTGCCACCGGTAGACTTGAAAGATTTAAAGATTATTGGATGAACTAAAAATTTATGGGGTGTATTTAGACAAGATCAAAATTTATTGGGTCTTTCCGCAGATTACCTAAAGATCAATTAGGGCTCCATCAGGGGCGACACCCTGAAATAATTTTTCCATTAGTGGGCCATAGGCCCAATTATTAGGCACCACTATTTTGGATATTGGGCCTTTGGGGTTTTAACCATGATCTGATTTGAAGGCCCATACAAGAAATGGCTCAACTGATTTCAAGGCCCGTAATCGAAAAGCCCAAAGGTTTTTCTCCCGTTCACTCCTCGCCGGTAAGAAATTAGAATTCTTCATCGGCTGTGAAAAATTCACCTGGCATTTGTCATTTCTCACCTTTTCATGTTTAAATAAGTTAGGGCAAAGCAGCTTGTTTAGGTTGAAAATCGCCCAAGGAAGACGAAGAGAAGACGATCTTCTTCTTTCTCTCTTCTCTCTGCCGTCTCCGATCGTTCGAAAGCCCCCTAGGTTCCGTCAGATCCGGTATTGGTTCTTTTTTGTTTCTGATTTTGGTAGGGGAGGAGTAGAGATTTTGCTAATGGCACTTTCGGCTTCCGATTTACCGGCGATGTACTCGCTATTGGCGAATTCCATGAGCGGAGACGAGGGCGTCCGGCGACCGGCTGAGGCGGCGCTGTCTCAGTCGGAGAGCAGACCTGGATTCTGTTCTTGCCTGATGGTGCGTTTTCTTTGTCTCGTTCTTAGGTGCTTGCCGTTTCTTGTGTATTGTCGGCTGATTTTACATTCTCCTTTAGGAAGTTATTACTTCAAAGGATTTGGTGTCTCACGTTGATGTTAGATTGATGGCCTCGGTATATCTCAAGAACAGTATCAATCGGTATTGGAGGAGCAGACGCAACTCGCCGTAAGTTCATCGTCTTTAGATTTCATTGTTGAAAATAACTGTAGCCGAAAGGCCATCAATATTCTTAACTTGTCAAATCTGTCGAATAGGGTTGATTATGGTCGGAACTAGTCAATCATTGTTGCCTGACTTCTGCCACCGTTCGCTCTGTCTACAGAATCGATCATTTTACTTTTATGATGCGGATAGCTTTTTGACTCTTTAGAGTTTTAAATGATACGGATCTGAGGTGTCTGGGTTGGCATTTTTTTCAGAGGTATAAGCAATGAGGAAAAACTGTACCTGAGGCAAAAATTGTTGTCTCACTTGAGAGAAGAGAACTACCAGGTACAGTAATAGCTTGCTTTGGTTGTTAGCACTTTTCTCCCCTCTTTTGTGTAGCCCCACCGAAACTTGCATCTCACTAATATAAATTGTTATATTTAATGTATACCACAGATATGTAGACTTCTCGCATCAATTTACTTCCCAAATGGTTTTCATTGACAGGTTAACTTAATGCTTTTCATACGTGTTTTAATGGCAGATAGCTGAATTGCTGGCTGTTCTCGTTTCAAAGATTGCCCGTATCGATTATCCTAGGGAATGGTATGCTCTATTTTCACCTGATATTTTACCCTATCTTGACATTTGTACAATGCCAATGTTTTTCTTTGGAATGTCAAGTCTGCGTCGGTTAATAAATAATTAGATGCACTAATTTTTGTGTTCGAATGTTGTCAGGCCTGAACTTTTTTCTGTATTAGCACAACAGCTTCAATCAGCAGATGTTCTAACTTCTCATAGGATCTTTATGATTCTCTTCCGGTCCTTGAAAGAATTGTCTACTAAGCGTCTTACGGCAGATCAAAGAAACTTTGCTGAGGTATTCTTGCTGCTACACTATCCGTGGCTCTATTTCTTGTTATTATCTTGCTTGTAATTGTTTTCAGGTGTGTTGCTATAATACTTGGATAGTTTCTTTAATTAACATTGCACTCATGTTAAACATTGTTGGCAGATCTCGTCGAAATTCTTTGACTTTTGTTGGCACCTCTGGCAAACTGATGTCCAGACAATACTTCATGGCTTCTCAACAATGACCCAGAGCTGTGATTCAAATGGCGGCAGGCAACATCATGATGAACTTTTTCTGACATGTGAGAGGTGGTTTTTATGCTTGAAAATAGTGCGCCAGCTCATAATTTCAGGTTTTCAAAGCGATGCCAAATGCATACAGGTAGCTTTCATATCCCTTCCCACAACTTTTCCTCTCATTATCTCATTTGCTGTCTGATTCATCTTAGTTACTTTTTTGTTGCTGAATATATATTCATTACCTTGTTCTCACTCTCAAGTGTTTTTCCCTAAGTTTAGCTGGAATGATATCTTGAATAGAGTTACTCATACATTGATGTCTTTTCAGGAGATCCAACCGGTCAAAGAAGTTTCTCCTGTGCTCTTGAAGGCAGTTCAGTCGTTTCTTCCATATTGTGAGTTCTTTTTGCTTTTGAATCACTTTTCTGCTTATAGCTAAAGTACTTCGGACAGCTGAAGACAAGCATTGTTAGCATTTTCCTTCCCCTTCAAACTTTTAGTCCTGTAGGACTTTATATCGCTTAACTTTTTTTATGTTTCTCCACGCAGATTCATCATTCCAGAATCAGGATCCTAAATTCTGGGAGTTTATGAAAAAGTCATGTATCAAGCTGATGAAAGTTCTAATAGCTATTCAAAACAGACATCCTTATTCATTTGGAGATAAACCTGTTCTTTCTGAAGTCATGGATTTCTGCTTAAATAAGATAACAGACCCTGAGCCAGGGGTGTTGTCGTTTGAAGAATTTTTGATACAGTGTATGGTAATGGTGAAATGTGTGCTCGAGTGTAAAGAATATAAGCCAAGTATAATGGGTCGTGTGATGGATGAAACTGGAGTTACACATGAACAGATGAAGAAGAATGCTTCGACCAGAGTCGGCTGCATTTTAATTTCACTTTTACCTAGAGAAAGGATTGTTCTTTTGTGCAACATTCTGGTAAGAAGGTAATACTCTTAGCCTTTGACAAGAGATGTGAAATCTAAGGTTTTCTTTTACTCCCTTGCTTGGTGAGCCTGTAAAGATGAGCCTGTTTTCCAAGTTGTGAATTGATTAATGTGTATATATTTGAGCCTTTAGGTTATTCACGTGAAAGGTGATATACATGGCAATAAGGACTTCAAATGTCAGACCTTAATGCATAATTACAAAGAAGTTATGAGCTAGGGTAGAAATAGTATCTTCCTGTTGCTGTACAAATACCGGGGTCTCAGTTCTCTCGGTTTTTCCATTTTAGAATTGCCTCTATCTCATTGCTGTAGGGTGAAAGACATGTATTTGTCCATCAATATAAGTTGAAGTCCAGGAGGAGTTGATAGCAATGTTATAGGGCATCATATAATTTTGGTTTAACTATATTTCTTGGGTAGGATTGTTTGGTTTGGGTGTAAAGCATGGTAGGATCGGATGCAATCTCGCTTACATGCCATAAAGCATGGTAGGGTGAAAGACATGTATATGCCTGGGAAAGTATTTTACTGAAACTTTTTCATCAAAATCTCATTAGGTACTTTGTCCTAACATCAAGTGACCTGGAGGAGTGGTACCAGAATCCTGAGTCCTTCCATCACGAGCAGGACATGATTCAATGGACAGAGAAACTGAGGCCTTGTGCTGAAGCTCTATATATGGTTTTGTTTGAGAAATATAGCCAAGTAAGTGGCAAGTAGTATTGAACTTTTAATCTTGTTTTGAAATCTAAAATATACACATACTGATGCGAATTGATGTTCAAATTTCGTCTTCATTGTTGTGAATAGCTGTTAGGCCCTGTTGTAGTGTCAATCCTTCAAGAGTCAATGAATAGTTGCCCCCCTACTGTGACAGAAATAACGCCTGCATTACTACTCAAAGATGCTGCCTATGCTGCTGCTGCCTATGTCTACTATGAGTTGTCAAATTATCTTAATTTCAGAGATTGGTATGTTCATGATCTGCTATGCCATGTGGATGTTTTGCTTCATTTCCGTGGAATAATGCTGTGCGATTCATAATTGAATGGACTATGTTCCACCGTCGTATTAACGGTCAACGTATAATGACTATGACAATGACTTAAGAGTTTGTTGGTTGGCCATGTAGTCATGGCTTTAATGGTTAACTGACTATCTTTCTTCTTTCTTGAAATTTTGCTCCAGGTTTAACAGTGCTCTATCCCTTGAACTCTCAAATGACCATCCAAATAGACGTATCATCCACCGAAAAGTTGCCCTCATATTGGGACACTGGGTTTCTGAGGTATTGATTTTCTTCGGATATACCATCTCTGTTTCTTATCTTGACAAGTCGGGAATATATTTCAAGGACATCTCATTTTTTTCTTATCTGAATGAATGATTGGGACAAATACTGGGAACTCTAATGCATATTTTCTCATGATATTGACTATTGAGTCGGTGTGGCCTGTGGGGTGATCATTCAAAAGCAGAATTTGCTTGTTTTGTTCTGTCTGGAAGTAGACCCTACTAGAGTTTGTTGCTTTCTTATTCTGTGTCCTCTCCCCTCTCCACAGTTGATACTAGAACAAGATTGTGTGCTAATTGTGGTTGTGTGATGATCGCAATCTTTCAGATCAAAGATGACACAAAAAGATCAGTCTATTGTTCTTTGATAAGATTGTTGCAAGACAATGACCTGGCTGTTAAGGTTTGCTCATTCTGTCCATCTTTCTTTTTCTTCTTATTTTTGCTCTTCCGCCTTCATCTTCCTTTCCTGTATAAACTAACTTGCCCATTTATTCCTTTTTCTGTCCTGCATCTGAAATTGTTTATCTACTGATGTAGCTGGCAGCTAGTAGGTCCTTGTGTTTACACGTTGAAGATTCCAACTTCTCAGAGGGGGATTTTTCTGATCTTCTTCCAGTCTGTTGGGAGTCATGCTTTCATCTGGTGGAGGAAGTTCAAGAGTTTGATTCAAAGGTAAAGATGCGGCCAAGCCACCACAATTTCATTGTGGTGTTAGGCGCCTAGATTCTTGCCGAAACTGTGTGGGTTCCTTCTATGGCTCTCTATCTCGACCCTCTGTTATCATTTTCTGTATGATTAACTTCTTCTGTTTCTCCAGGTCCAAGTTCTGAATTTGATATCTACTCTTATCGAGCATGTCAATGAAGTCAGTCCATATGCACACAAATTGGTGCAGTTCTTCCAGAAGGTGTTTGATCGTTATCTCTGTATTTCTTGTTTACTAAGCTTTCTTGATGCAACAAGCAGAGAAACTTGTGCATATGCTGAAGTAGCTTAGGTATATCTTATTATAGACACCCTTGGTTTAAGAACAGGTTTGGGAGGAATCCTCTGGCGAAAGCCTTCTACAGATTCAGCTTCTTATTGCACTGCGGAATTTTGTGGTTGCACTTGGTTATCAGTCTCCCTGTTGCTACAGCCTGCTGCTCCCTATTCTGCATAAGGGCATTGACGTAAATAGCCCAGACGAGCTCAACCTTCTTGAGGATAGCATGGCAGTAAGTTTCCGCATGTCAAGTTTGTATTTTTCTTTTATGCTGAAATTTAATGTCAAAATGACACCGTACTATGTGTGCAGTTATGGGAAGCCACACTTTCTTATGCTCCTATGATGGTGCCCCAACTATTAGCATGCTTTCCTTATATGGTGGATATTATTGAAAGGAGTTTTGATCATTTGCAGGTTAGTCCTTTTTGGTTGTCAAGGAGGTGACCCTTTTTTTTATCATTGTATTTGTTATATACAGTTATTCTTACTAGAACATTCTGAGCTATTTCTTATAAGACATTTTCCTGTGGGCTGTGCTATGATACTTACTGGAAATTTTGACTAACGCATCACTTCTTTCTAATCATAATCAAAAGTAGGTTGCTGTCAGTATCATGGAGTCCTACATTATATTGGGTGGAGGAGAATTTCTAAATATGCATGCTTCCAGTGTTGCGAAGATTCTTGATCTTATAGTTGGAAATGTAAATGACAAGGGATTGCTCTCGGTTTTGCCAGTGATCGATATTTTAGTACAGGTTCGTATGTTTTCTCATTTGTCGAAACTTGTGTAATTCATACAAGTTAACAAATTTTCATGGCCCTCGTGTACACCAGGGTCCAGTCTTAGTATGAAATATTTCAAAGAAGTTACTCTGTTCCTACAACTTAATGTAACCCTGTGAATTGAACCCTTAAGGGCCAACCCAGTTCGAGTCCCCACCTGGTGGGGTACTGGGGAAAGGAATTGAACCCTTCTCCGTTCATATTTGTTTCCGCATTTCTTTGATCTAAAATGATTATTCTTTCACAATGCTTTTTGTAGACATTTGTTACTGATTTAATGGTCTTGTGTTTTCACATGACTATATGACTCCTAAAATTGTATTTTGACTGAGTTCTAAGCACTGTTGATGCTCCTTGTATATAGCATAATATAGCTTGAGATTTTCTTATAATTATTGTGATCTTCACTCGAATGAAAATTTTGTTTGTCATGATTGACATATGAAATCATGTCCAAGTTTTGACTTGTTTGTTTGTTTCACAGTGCTTTCCTGTGGATGTCCCCCCTCTCATCAGTAGCTGCTTACAGGTGAGTTTTCATTGGAAAGCAGTTCTATACAATGCCATGTTCTTAAACACCTAACATGTTTCATTTGTATGTCACCCTCAGAAACTTGTAATTATTTGCTTGAGTGGAGGAGATGACCGAGATCCTTCGAAGACTGCAGTGAAAGCATCCTCAGCGGCTATCCTAGCGAGGATTCTGATAATGAATACCAGTTACCTGGCCCAGTTAACATCTGAGCCATCTCTTTCAGTGTTACTCCAGCAGGCAGGGGTGCCCATTGAAGAAAATATACTCCTTTGCCTCGTTGATATTTGGCTTGATAAGGTTGGTGGAGATTGTACTTTCACCAGAAACTGCAGTGTCTTTTTATGTACTTATCTGGTTTTTGGAAGCTTTCAATTGTTGAATGGCTAAGTTTCTTGGGCTAATCTGTTTTTCTTCAATGGATTCCATAGCAGTAGCATATCATTAAGCATTTATACATGTCCTCATTAGTTTATAATTGACTGCTTTGCACTCATTTGTTACATTTTTTGTGTTCATGTACAGGTAGATCATGTGTCTCCCATGCAGAAAAAGACATTTGGCTTGGCCCTTTCGGTGATCCTTACACTAAGAATGCCTCAAGTCCTTGATAAGCTTGATCAGATACTAAGGTATGCTTCACCTGATCGGATATTTGTTATGATATGTGGTGTCTGTTCTGTTCTTTGCAAATATAAATGATCCTATTTCTGGGAATAGTGTGTGCACCAGTGTGATCTTGGGAGGGAACGATGATTTAACAGAAGACGCAAGGTTAGGCCAATGGTTGATTTTTCTTTTATTCTTATTTGATATTTTACAACATTACATACGTTTCCATATCTCAACATATAATGACATGAGCTCAAGCAGGTCCCAAGGAGAGGAGACCCTGCCGAGCAAAGAGTTAAGGATGAGACAGGTGAACATAAAAACTCCTATCTGTAAATTAATAAATCCTACGGACAAAAAACGGATTTTCTTAACAAAAATCTTGTTTTTGGTTTCCTTCTACAGATCAAAGTGTCCGATCCAATTAACCAAATGTCGCTGGAAAATTCAGTGCGTGAGAATCTTCAAACTTGTTCTGCACTTCATGGGGAGGCCTTCAATTCCACCATCAATAGGATGCATCCCTCAGCACTTGCACAAGTGAAGCAAGCTCTAAAGTTGCCATGAGGGGGGAATTGTATTGTGTCTTTGTCTCTTCTTTTCTCTCTGTTCACCTTCCTCGGTTTGAAGGCAGTAAACAGGTGAGTTTGGTAAATCTTTCCTTTCTGTTGCATAAAATCCGGTGGGTGTTCTTCCTTATACGTTCTCATTTACACAGATACACACCTGCATCTGTGTGCAGTAATTGCACATATCCAGTTGAATTCATGCATAGAAATACACATGCGTATGTTTCATGATTCTGTGACAATTAGATACATGTGCATGACTACAGCTGTGGACACAGAACATACGTTGACTATCATATTCTCGTATAAATATGTTTGCATATTAGTAAAAACTTGTGTACCATATACATGTGGTATGGCCATCTGTGGATTGGTCAAAATATTCGGAATTTCATATATATATATATATATATATATATATTGATGGGGATGGATGTATAACGTGGGATGCATGTATGCCTTCATGCGAAATTCTCTGTGCAGGTGATAGAACACTGGATTTTGTGTGAAAGATGCGTTTTCTTTTGGTGAGTGCTCTGTTTTCTCAAGTGGCGGCCACAGCTTCTTTTTTGATTGGTGGAGGAACTCTGTACATAACTTCGTGGGGAGGTACTAAACTACTGCATCTCTCTCTGCCCCGGCTTTTTTTTTTTTTTACTCAGTGGCAAAAAAGGGCGTCTTTGTAAGTTTTCCATCCAAAATGATGAGAGAAATATAATGAAAGAAAAAAGAAGGGAAATATAGAACATCCCCCCATGCAAAGTGAAGCTTTTTTTTTTTTTGTTGTTGCTGAAAAATGCATTCCATGCCATTGATTGTTAAATTGAACCGATTTGTTCATTGATTGGGTAGAGAGTGTTGAGGAGGATTTGTCCTCGAGATTGTGGTTTATGTAAAACTTTATGCGAAAATTGCTTGAAAAAGTTTATCAATTTCGGTAGAACAATAAAATTTAAGTGACCAACTTATTTCAATGTTAATTTTAATGTTTTATGATTCGAGTTTTTATTTTACAATTGGAAGTCTGGTCGGAAGCAGTCGTTGATAAACGTGTCCGATTTTTGATATAGGTACTTCAATATATTATATACATACACCCAAAAAAGTTATCGTTTTTTAACCCTCCCGGGAAGTGTATTCGCACAAACTTTTGTGTTGAAAAGGTGGTGAATATTTAGATGAGACCTAATCTAAATATATTGTATCATAACTAAAATTGATTACACAAACAATATTTTTTTGTAAAAATGGTTCACATCTCCATACGAGATTTAATAAATACTTCATAGTTTCGTTGTATAATTAAGTTTCGAAAGTTTTTTTGTTGTCCCCAAAGGTCAATTTAATTACTGTATCTATCTGTAGTTTAACGGTTATAAGAAGAGGCAAAATAACACGGGAAAAAAAGGGAAAAAAATTCGCTCACGCGCCGTACTTTTAAATTTTCGAAAAAACGCTGAAATCGATGGCTCTAATCCAGGGATTTTGGGGCGGTGACGTCCACGCGCCCTGACTGCGAGTGGGAAAATCACGATTTTCTCTCCAGAAAATAATGTATTCTTTCAAAAATTCAACCTTCCCAAAAGGAGGAGAACAAACAAGTTCCCAAGCTTGCGCCCGGCCATTAAATCGGGACAAAAAAGAAAAGGAATTAAACCAAAAAAAAAACTACAAATCGAGAAGAGATCAAATAGGAGCATTATGAAGGTATCGGTTCTCGTAAAGGCCAATGATCTGATCAGCCACGGCCCACATGATGGCTTGTCCCGGTGGAATCCTCATTAGCCGCGGCAAAAGCCCTTTCCACAGCGCCAATACCCCTTCCTCTGCGTATATTGTCCTTATCGCATGGACCATCCCTCTATATTTCAACCCTCCTTCCCCATCTCGACTCTGAGCCATCAGCCTCGTCTTGACCACGTCGAATGGTCCTGTGCAGATTGGACCAGCTGTGCCTGCCAAGAAGCCTGAGATCATTGACTGCCACGGCTGCAACACTTTCCCATCTCCTTCGTGTTTGTGCCATAGGAGGACGTCAAATGCATTCTTGGCTGTGAACATGGCTGCTTGGTTCGTGCCATTGCGCATAACGGTTGGAGCAGCTCCTGCCCAGAGGCCAAGCACTCCTTCTTCTCTAACGATTGTTCGGGCACAGTGTATGGGTCCCTTGTACTTCAAGAGGCCAAGGCTTAATCCTTTTTGTTGCTGAAGTCTAATTTTCACCACCTGGATAGGAGGGGCAAATGACAGAAACTCACCAACAGCTCCTAGTCAAAACCTTTGCTATCTTTAACATTTAGCAGGACATAATTCTATTAAGCAAGACAAGATCCCGACAGTCATTTGAGTAACCAACTAAGCCAAGACAGAGTAATCATTAACATGAAAATTAAGGCTAACTGTGTTCCTGTCTGATGTTTATGTTGACATTAGCATGCTCAAGCTCAGCTAAGGACAATCATCATTGTCATCCACATAAATCACAAGTAGAATGCCCCTGTTTCCTAGGGCGCACCCAAACACAACATATTTTAACACCACAATGGCTACACTACACACATGAAATCACTTCTTGCTCAAATCTTAGCCCTTGACTCCGAGAACAGTGCACCCTTTAGGACGGCAGGAGTTTTGGCCATCAAACGATGGATGTTCGAGGCATAGAGGGTCAAATTATCACCAGTGACAGACCAGAGGTCTCATGGGTTTCTTTGATGAGAGGACTTGGCTGAGACAAGCATTCCCATGATTTCCAACACAAACCGTCAAAGAGTCAATGCCCGAGTTCAATCCTAACCTCTCATTCGCGGATGTTATGATTTTTCTTTCTTTTTCTCTATCTATACAGATACATTTCAGGCATTAGATCTGAAGATTTCTACAGCGTCTGATTTTTCTACATCTATATATTTCACGCCAGACCCACAAACGCTATTAAAGCAAATCCAAGTATAACAAAAGACGCCAAATGAAGTGACGGAATCACATGGATTCAACCATCTTTGGAACAGCGATGCATGCGAAAGGGAAAAATCGCTGACCTCAAACGGCGTGACAATGGCGAGAGCCTCGAGGACGCCGGCGCCAAACCCAGAGAGAAGACGGCCGCGGTTGCTGAGCTTGCCGGTCTCGGAGTCCTTGAAAGCGGACTGGAAGACGGCGTTGGATCCCATCCGAAGGGCGTATTTGAGAGTTAGATGAGTAGCGAACGGCGTCAAGCCCTTCCAGAGCGCGCGAACTCCCTCCGTTCGCGCCACCGTGGAGCCGCAGTGGACGATACCCTTGTAAGCGCCGCCGCGGTCGAGCTGCAGACGCGTCTTGATGACGTCGATGGGTTGCAGACATGACGCCTCCACGATTCCTCCGAGGGAGCCCGATATCGCCTTCATATAATGTGGAATTGGTGCCTTGTTAGCCGATGCCGTCTTTGCATCCTCCGGTTCCGCCATTTTAGCCACAATCGGAGAGAATCTAGGGCTCTCTCTCTCGCCGAGAAGAAGAAGAAGAAGAAATCAGAGAGGGGACGTGTGGCCTCTCTCTTATTCTTGTTGCTTCTTGCTTTCTTGCTCGGCCTCTCCGGTTGTCGAAATGCTCGGCGCAGCCCCCTTTTATTATTCCATTTATTAAATAAATATATTTGAAATTGCTGTAATTTCTTTTTTTCGTATTATAGGCAGTTATATCAGAACACGAGCCAAAGATTCCCTCATAACATTCTATTTTTTTCTATACAAGGGCTAGTACTATTTACATGCTGTCATTCGATAGTTTAATAAATCAAAGCTCTATGCAGCATTTTGCATTTGGCCATTAATTTCTCTTCCCCAAGAAACCACGAATATATATATATATATATATACACGAGTGAGAAATAAGTGAATTTCTTCAGAGATGCACAAAAAAGATAAATAAGTGAAAAATTAAAATCAGTTTTTTTTTGAAGTTTTTAAGGGCCCTTATAACAACTACACATTAAATTCAAGGATAGTGATGGACGACGTATACGTATACTGGCACAACCGAATGAGGAATCACTGACAAAAGAACCAAAACCAAAACACACAGAGCAATTGGCCAACAAAACCATCAAAAATAAACCAAGATCACGCAGAAAGTGAACTTCTCTTCTTCTCTGTCGTCGGATCTCAGTGATGACACTGTCGGTCAAAGAGTCAACGTCATGATTCCTACCGTAGAATTTCACAAAATCAATCTCCGGGCTCACCAAGTACCTGCCCACCCTTCTTACCCACATAATTTGGCCTCACTAGAATGCACCAACTCCATTAAAGGATAAAGGGTTAGTGTATGCGTACATGACAATGCATGGAGTCCGAATCTTCCTCCGCCATCTTCATGTGGTAAGCACGACCCACTGATTTGATTTCTTCCGGGCCGCTCGTTAAACCCAACCAACTTTCACAAGAAACTCTGCCACCATGTACAAGAATTCCAACCTTTAACATGTTCATGTACTTGCTGAACTGTCTTTCAGGATCCTGTAATAGTAAAATTGATGCTGGGAGCTGTAATAGTAAAATTTGACAAATCAAGCACCTACTTGGCGACTGAAATGCCCAGTAACTATACCACGTAATGCATTATCCATAACAGAAACCACATCAACCATCCAGCTGAACTCAGAATCATCTCAGATGTCATATATAGAATTGTAAATGCATACACACACAAACCCATGTGCCTAAAAATATAAATTGTATGCGCGCACACACACACACACACATATATATATATTTGATGCACAGGGACATAATTCCATGATTTAATAACCCGAGCAGTAAAATCCAACTGTGTTTCATGCTCCAAACTTCAGGAAAATCAGAACAATGTCCTACCAGTGACATCATAAATGAAATTTGTTAAGATCCCTCTAACAAGTATGGGATTGGTCGATGCGTTATAAGACTATGGGCATCCTCTCCCGGTAAACTAGTTGTTGGGAATGAGTTCTATCTATGGATCTTAAAAGGATGGATTTGCCTATTATGGGTAGGTTCTATTACAATCATACAAGAAGATAAAATGACAAATCCTCACACTCCATGGAAAAGTGGAGACACTTTTATAAATACATCAGAACAACTTTTAATTTTAATTTAGGGTCTGCAGGATTAATTTGGAAAATCAGTAGAAATATAATGCAAGAACCAATTTATATAAATCCAGATGGAAATCACGAAAACTATGATCTAGAAATTTTCAATGTCGTCATCAGCACCTGACCCTGAGATGTGAATCACATACATCTGTTCGAACTGGAGTTTGAAACCAAGCTCTTCCTCAAGAGGATAAGATAACTAAAAGAAGACAGGATTAACTGACATTGTTCTAACATGCAGAGGTAAACTATATGGTATTCCGGCAGGTGGCAGCACTTCCTCAAGAAGATTAACATTAAACCAAAAAAAAAAAAGAAGATTATAGATTCCCAAAACCCGTAGAAATGTAGCGCATAGCATTTCTACATTGCACCACATTAACAAGGATTTGTTTGAAGATTATCTCGCTTCAGTGAGAAAATCATCATCGAGGGAAGATGTTCCGGACGGCCAAATGGTGAAAACTAAATACAACAACAACAATATGGCCTTGATCCAAGTTTATTTGAAGTCGACCGCATGAAAACTAAATGTCTAAAATAAAATAACGCAGAACAATCCTAATGCAAATTGCGAAGAGACAAGGCAGTTAACAAGGCTGCTGCTAAAAGAGAGAAAAGATATATATATATTTTTTCCTTGGAAAGAAAAATCTCTCAATCTTCCTACGCCGCAGCGTGTGATAACTAATGATAACTTACGCAGCAGACTAGCTTGTAAATTGAGCCTATCTCGCTTCAAATGAACGAGCCGGTCAGGAATATATAGGATCCAATCGGCCAGAGAAAGAAGCTCATAACATCAACCAGTAAACATATGAGTACGCAAACAGCGAGTCAAAACCCTAACGAAAGAAGAAGACAATACCTATTCGCCAAACCATTGACTATGAGCTCGTTCGCCATATAAGAGAAAGGTCGGCGGATGAAAATTCCTCCCGCCATAGCCGAAATTTCACTTCGGTTTCCCTATCAAAAAGAAAGGCAACGAAACCCTAGCGTCAAAAGAAACCAAACTGACAAAAATAATTAGGGAACATACTCGCTCCAGTCTTCAGCCAACGAAATTCAGCGGGAGAACATGAACTCGGACGGAGAAACATCATAATGTATCCGAGGCGATTTCCAGGGAAGTTCGCGTTTCCTGGGAAAATTTTCATCGCATCTAGATACGAATATGGCAGTACGACTGTACGAAGACTGGGAGAATAAAAAAACACGAGCTGCAGTATGATATGTTGGCCGAATTGCTTGCCGTTTCAGAAAATGATGAAAAATGGCTTGTCGTTTAATGGGCCTAATTTTGCTGCGTTCTTCTTCTCCCCTTGCTGCAAAAGGCCCTTTCTCAAAAATATTCTGAATACAGTAGCAATGCGTGTCGTTTACATTGCAACAAAACGTTTTGAATTGCATCGCACATCACGGTTATACCCTCGACACCTAGCGCTAATTACAAATGAGCCAAAAGGATCTGATTCCACGTGTCGGGCAATCCAGGGAGGCACCAGTGGATGCAGTCAGCGTGCCGCATTGGATCGGCTCTCTCTTCAGCCGTTAAGATCTTGCCACCTGTCTCTGTGTACACGGATGCGTGGGCGTCGATACGGTACTCTGAGAGCTGAGTGATATTGAGGAAAGTGACGTGGCTTTTCATCCTCTTCACTACGCCCGATACCACGCCCATCATCGCTTTGTTCGACCCACTCCCCCAGAACCTCCTCTTCCTTATGGGCTCTGTCTCGTTGTAACACTTCGTGCCGTTCGGCTTCCCCCAGTCCGCACTCCTTGTCGTTTCAAAAAACGGTGCCAATATTAGAAAATAATGACGATCAATTTGGTTAAAAAGGGAATCAATCTAAATCCAATAATAATTAATCGTGAAAAAAACAGGAAAACTAAATATGAAACGAATGAAAAAATTACCAAAAAATCGTAATTTTTTTAATAAATCATTTTTGTTAATAAAAATGAATTTGAACCAAATCTCCAAATCTAACCCGAAATAAATTTAATATAAAAATAGAAACATAAAATAGTTATAGGTTTTTAAAATCGAAATAACTAAATCAAAATATAATCTAAACGGTTACCCCCTAACGGGGAATAAAATTACACTAAAGCGAAACCGGTTTAGCTTCGGTTCAGTAAACGGAAAGGGAGTGAAACCTGGTATGAGTAGGGGACATGGTGGTGAAGAAGACTCGGGTCTTGTTGGGGTCAACGGTAGAGTCAACCCAATTCGCCCACGTCTTGAGACCCAACCGGTAAGCCACGGGCGTGTCCAGTGCTTCCGCGCCCTCTTCTCCGTTTGGGAACGAACCCCATCTGCGTATATTTATGTTACATATATTTATTTATCCACATAATTATATGGGTATTAACACATAAACAAATATACTTGTGTACTTACAGTGCCTTGACTTTAAGGCCACTCATCCACCAGACATAAGTGTTGAAGACGAGAATGTCGGCTCCTTCCCAGCGCTTGGATCTCTCTTCGAGAGAATCCACCTTCACTATTCTCTTCTTGGGGTCAGCTATCACTGGTTGATCTGTGTTCGATTCCACTATGAATGGTGCCCAGTAGAATTCGATACTCGCATTGTATTCCTAACCATCCAAATTATTATATAAAAAAACGATATGATTATTGCATGGCATGCATGCGTATGTATTGTTTTGTACGTACGTAGATTATATCCAAAGCAAAACTAATCGTACATGCCTTTGCTCTGAAGACAGAGTGTCTTTTGCCTCTTTTCATTGACTTTTGTCCCTCGGGAATGACGGAATTCACCAAACACACGAAGGATTCCCACTGGCTTCTCTGAAGTGAATCTCCCGCAAAGAGCAGCGTTTTCCCTCTGAGCTTATTCAATGCCAACTCCGGGCTAAATCTGTTCATCACAAATCCACGCGCATATTATTTGTCTTAAATCCTACGTAAGATAAACGTATATTTTATGCATGCATGCATGCATGTGCGCGTATGTATGTATATACCGGGGGAGAGTACAGTCATCAGGCCGCCATTCCCAGCGGAGGTAATCGGTCTCAGGCCGTCCGTTTTTTACGCAAGAGAATTGGCGGTCGATGTACGGGCATGATTCATCGGTGTAGAGAGGCTCGATCGAACGGTTGTAAACCCATTTCCCGACCGTGACATCGCACTCTTCGTCGAACTCAAACCTGTCGTCGACAAGTTCTGGGTCCACCGTCGTTTCTTCGTCTTCTAGTTTCTCCTCTTCTCGTAAGAAAAATAGATAAGAGAGATGAGATCATTTGTTTCATTGAAGAAGACCATGAAACAGATAAAAGATATAGAGATTTCATTAAGGTTGTTTTCCTCATATACTGTACTTACTGGATATGGACCCAGTGCTGCGTTTTCTTGCACAGGTCTTGAACTTGAAAATGGAAGATGACGATGACGAGGAAGAAGAAGATGAAATAAGGCTAATCCTCTCAGTGTACAACAGCAAAAAGAACAAGAGACCGCACAAGACGAGAATGAAGGCAGAGAGAGGAACTTTGGTTCCTCTGTAAGAAGCCATTAATGCCGACAGACTCGATCGCAGTTGCAGTAAACAGATATGATTCAGACAAAAAAAAAGTCTTTTTTTTTTCGGAGACATTGTGTTTGGGGGTGGATGCGTTATTATATTGTAATTCTTATTATGGGGTGTGGATTGAGTAGGAGTGAAGCTAAAGTCATGTTTGGATGTGATACATCCATCTTTTTTTGGTTATTAAAAGAAATATAAAAAAAATGAGATATGGTTTTGTATATTTCCCGCTGAAATCTTAAACGTGACCAACACTCATTATTCGTTGATTAGGTGCTTAATTACTTGTGTATAATTATTCCATTTTTTTTTTATAATTCGAAAGTTCACCGTATCTATGATCCGACTATATCTTCCAGAAAACCGGTAAAACTCATAATGAAACCAGTGATCGAGATGGTTTAGTACCACAGCTACCCGGTCCAATGACAATGGGGGATTGTGACCCAACCCAGGTGTTGATGATGCCTTTTCTAAAGTTTTCAGGCCTCGCTTACACCTTGGCCTTCTAGGAAGAATTTCCTGTAAATCCAAATGTTTTATTCGTTATGCTAATGATGTACATCATATTTTTTTTTAAAAAAATAGATTTAGTATTCATACCAACATCTCTCTTTATGTATGCATACATTCGTCAATATCAAACAGAATGTTTCCCATGAGACTTTCAGTTTCGACCGGTTTATCTGTTCCACGTGGTTCGCAAACTCACATCACGTGTATCATTCACATCAATAGAAAATTCACCGTATATATATATATTATACATTCATTTCATAAATAGTGAACTTAATATATCATTTGCGTAAATCTTGCCAAAACATAATTTATTGTATATATATAATTAAACAAAGTGATCAATATCTAATACATATTAATCAAACTATTTATTCCGAGGAATAGTTAAGGAGTTGTTGTCCTCCGCATCAGCATCATAAAAAATGGACAAGAACAATTCAAAAACATCAACAGAAGTTGTTGTAGCTTGAATTAATAACAAACATTAAATTATGTAGATAATGAGACCTCCACTTTCATAATTAGTGGAGCATCTTTTTCTGTTTGTTCCTACCATTTGAAGCAAGTCTATTGCCTCACGAGTCACGAGTTGTGATTAAAATAATTTAATACGATAATAATATGTCTGTGTATTTAATGATGTCATTTAGATTTCAATTTTAAGTTACGGGCGCAATAATTTTTTTGTTATTGTCGTATAATAAAGTTCAATAACAATAGTATAAATTTAAATCAGCTAAAATACGAAACAAAATGAACAAACTATTAGCGGTTTATGGGAAAATCCAAATACACATAACCGTTTTACAAAAAAATAATAATAATAAAATTGTCCAACAAAGAAAAAGCCCAATTAAGCACATATCCACGGCCTGGCCTGCATACAAATTTGTAAGATTACGTGGCGAAATATGTTTAGGTTAATCTAGATATTGTCACGTTTCCAAATAAAAGAAGCCCAAACGGTAGTCTTAAATACTGAATCTGACAACATTGAAGAGAAATATCTTAAAATATACTAAAAACCAATTGTATAAAGAATATAAGTATTATTTTAATTTTCTCTATACATATCCTTTTAAAAATTATTACTAAATTTCAGCATAAGTAATACTTTATCAAAACATATATCAAATTTCTAAGAAAATTTATTAAAAAAATTTAAAACTTTCGAACATTATTTTCTAAAGGGTTAATCCAACAAAAAACCCCAAACTTGTTAAAATATTCCAACTTACAAGCTCCCACCCAAAATCCAGAATTTGGTAAAAACTTTCACAAAAATTACAAACTTACCATTTTTTATCATATAAAACCTTTGATTTATTTTACCAAAAATTTAGTTGACGTGGCACGACGAATTACTGACATGGCGCTGACTGAATTGTCACATCAGTACCACATCATCATTTTAAAAATTAAAATATTTAATAAAAAATGTATATGTATAAATTTACTTATATATATATATATGCAAATTTATAAATTTGATAATATATATATATATATATATTATATATTTGATTAAAATATTTGTATATTTAAAATTTTAAATTACAAATTATATATATATGATAAATATATATATATGTATGTATGTATATAGGTATATGTATATATATTTATATATTTAAATTACAAACTTAATATATATATATATATACAAAATATATATTATATATATTTGACCAAAAATTAGAAATTTATATTTTATTTTTAAAAATGATGACATGGTCCTGACGTGACAACTCAGTCAGCGTCATGTCAGCAATCCGTTGTGCCACATCAGTAAAAAAATTTGTCAAACAAGTCAAAGGTTTTATATAGAAAAAAATGGTAAGTTTGTAATTTTTGTGAAAGTTTTTACCAAATTCAGGATTTTTTTTGGGAAATTGCAAGTTTAAAGTTTTATATGGCACATTTTAATAAGTTTGGGTTTTTTTTTTGTGAGATTAACTCTTTTCTAAAAATAAATATTTTAACTTGTGTTTAATGTTATTAATATTTCTATGAAAACATTGTTATATTTTCCAAAAAATATTTATTTGTAGCAAAGTTTCAAATAGTTGATATATCAATTGTTTGAAAAATAAATAAACATATACATATATACTCTGGGAACAGAAGGAACACTTTAAGTTTAAGCAAAGGCAATTAATCTCTCCGTCGCTAGCCGTCCGATTAATTATTTGTTTGTCGTTTCGAAATCAAATCCCCGTTTTTGTCATTTTCGCATTCCATATTTGTACGTTGAATCTCGATTTCGATCTTAATTTCAACCAGACGGTTATTGAGCTCTTTTAATGTTGTCATACGAAACTGATATAGCGCAGGTCCTGAATTCATATCGAAAACAAACTGAAATGAAATCCATATTTGATTGAGATTTGATTTATGATTTCCCAAGCGTTATGTTTTATCAAGGATAACGCCCATTTTCCACGTAAAAACTCGAAGACCTAATGTTTAATCACCCGCGTAACATGACCATATTATTTGATTCTAGCCAATACTATATAATTATATTTTGTTTTATGTCGCACATATACATGGACTGAACTATAGAGATGAAATGAATATATAATCGTAAGCAAAGTCAAATGGGTTTGTGAGAATATTGCAGAGCTGAGCCCACAACTTTGAACCTTTGGCCTTCTGTTCAAATTGTGTTTTTGGTATCTCCCTCTCTCCAACGTTTCTTCTTTGACTTTTATTTTTACCCTTCCATGAATACATACATCGATATATATATATATATAATTAAATTATTAAAACTAAAATGTGGTTATTGTTAAATAGATTGGTTAATTATAATGTAAAACCACGCGGTGAAATGTACTCGTGACAATGTGAAACTGATTTCTCGAGTTCCCACGGACCGTCCAAAAGACAACACGTACGAACCACACGCGCGCGCATATATATATATATAACTTGATTGAAGATGATATAAGACATGATGATCGTTAGGGGCATCGATATATATATATATATATATATATATACCCTGATTTTTTAGGGTATCCTGGTTTCGATCGTCTTTATCTTCACGGATTTTGAAAAAACATTATCTCGTTTTCGTTTTTGTAAATCTCGCGTATCCGCGACTCTGGTACCCATCGCTGAATTCAACTGTACAAAGGTATCTGAATCTGTCAAAATCATAAGAAAATATTGAATTTTGTTGACTTTAGATATTTTAGTAATTTAATATGATTTTTTAATAATTATTGTATATATACTAAAATATTAAAATATTAAGGGTATAATCATCATTTTACTCAAATTCAATACTTTCGCATATCCATCGTCGTTCAAACAAAATCCGAATTCGAACCCACGGTCCAAATTTTTGGTTTCATCGAACCCGTTTTCATCTTCGTTGTATAGCAAATACTCATATTTCAAGTAATCGTGAGATAAGATACCCGAAAACCCAAAGTTTTCAAATAGCCGGCCCACCCTTGATGATCGTGTATTTCAAAATCAGAAAATATATAGTCATGTTTGTTTTCTGTCTTTTTCATTCAAGAGGAAAAAGAAAGAAAATTTCAAGGAAAAAAAAAACAAAGCGAAAGAAAATGAACATCTAAAATGTATGGTTATATAGTTGTTTGATTCTCTTGAAAAGAAAAACATAAATATGAAATCTAATTAAATTAGAAAAGAAGATGTGATTGGTTAATTAGAAGGACGATGGTGATCTGTATTAAGCCTCGTGAGCAAAGCATCAATAAGAAGGTCTCTCTTCTGAGCCCTAACCTCTTCTCTCACTCTTCTCTCTTCTTCCTTCTCCATCCACCGTCTCTCCGCCGCCACTCTCTCCTCCTCCAACTCCGCCATCCTCCGCCTCCACTCTCTCTCTCTCCTCTCCCTCTCCCTCTCTCTCCTCTCGCAAGCTTCCCTCCACTCCTTCTCCGTCTTCACCATCTGTCTCATGAACTCTTCCAACACTTCTTTCACCGATGATCCTGACGTCGTCGTCGTTGGGGTTTCTCCCTTTGCCTTCTTGGCTCGTTTTCTAGGGTTGGAAGTCATTACGGTTGTGCCCTTTTGGTGCGTTTCTACGAGGGATAGCAGCTCGTCGTTGATTTCGTGTTCCGGGTCGTCTTCGTCTTCGTCTTCTTCGTCGTCATCTGATGAGATCTGCGGCTTTCTCTTTGAAGTGCTTGCTTCTGCAGTATCTGACCATAGCATTCTTTGCATTCTTGCGGAGAATATGGTTTGGATTTCGTTGTAGAAGGGGAATTGCTTCCTCATGGCCTCTGGCTCCGTTGTTTCACATCCCTAAAAAAAATCAAGAAGTTTCGCTTCTTGTGTAAATGTACATTTGTATATCATGCATTTTTTAGTTTTGCCATTAACACATTCTTTCTTTTTTTTTCACACTGGTTAACTAATCAATGTGCAATATTATTATTATTTTTTATACGGGTTAATGGAAGCATTGATTTCATGTGTGTGTGTTTTTTTTTACCACATGGTGATCGTGAATGACGTTCAACTTGCACATTCAGACTAATCCCTCTTCGTCCCTAGATCAGTTCACTAAACGGTAAAGAATTGGTCTGAAAGAGGGTAGGGTTCAAACCCCTGACCTCTTGATTAAGGGACAAAGATACTAAAGCATCTATACCAAGCTACAGGTTATTTCATGTGTTTTTGTAACCATGTTTGTTTGCACACTATTCTAAATGTATAACGAGGCACGCTAATGCAAAACTGAACATATGCATATGTAACGTGGCCATTGAATATATATATATATAGATATATATATGTGTGTGTACTATCGGTTGGTAGATTATGTATCATGTGTAAACAAGATCTTGTAATAATAAAAACTAGATTTCCTATGTAAGTATATGAATCTAAGAATATAAACTAAAAAAAAACATATATATATATATATACACACACACACACATACACACATAAACATAGAGCCTCACCTTGAAAACGCTTGAAGACACTTAATATTATAGCCGGCAAGATATTAGTGACTCGAAAACTGTAAGTAGATCATTACCATACTATAACATGTGTGTGTATGTCATATGTATGTGTGTGTAAATGTGGACTTACAAGATAGGGTTGATGTATTATTATTCATCGCCCAAAATACGATGTCCACCGGTGTGTGGAATATAAGGAGTTTAAATAATAAAATCCCATACTATATATAACAGAATGAATCATGGATCACGTTATAGCATATATATATATATATGTATGTATGTATGTATGTATGCATGCATGCGGATGCCTCTACGACAAATTAAAACCATGTGATATTTTTCTTCTGCGTATTTACACGATGAAAAAGTTAACCCCAGTAGCAAAAGAACAAAGCCTCAAGAAATTCTCAAGACCTACATATACATACACATACACACACCCATATGTTTATATATCCTTGTGTATGTGTATGTGTAAATATATAATTAAAGTACCTTGAATCTGGTGACGAGGTTCTTCCACTTGCTCTTGCACTGGTCGGCGGTACGGACAAAACCCTTGTCGCTCATCTTGGAGGCGACGACTTCCCACAAAAGCTTGTTACGTTTGGTCTCCATGAATGTCTGATCAAGCTCTTCCCTTATCCTCAACAGCTCCTCCGTCTCCTGAACGCTCCACTGCGGTATCCTCTCTCCGCCGCCGCCGGAGAGATCCACCGCCGGAAGATGCTGCAGCTGCTGCTGGTGATGAAGCTGGTGGTGATGATGTTGGTAAGGGTTATGTCGGTCCATTTGGAGATCATCAGATCGAATTTTCACTCCAAACAAAAAAGAGAAGAAGAAGAAGAAGATGGGATTTTATTCTCCTCCGGAATTTAATTACAATGGAGAGAGAGAGAGAGAGAGAGAGAGAGAGAGAGAGAGAGAGAGAGAGAGAGAGAGAGTTAATTATTATTTCAAGGTGGTGTGAAAAGGAGGTGTGAAACTTCAAGAGGGGAGAAAGTTATGGCTTTAATTCAAACTAATAAAAAAATGAAAAGGAAAAAAGGTTTGAATATACTAGAAGTTAAATACAAAATCGCTGAAATAAAAAAAAAGAGGACATTTCTTTTAGAGAATTTTATAAAACAAACAACTTCGCATCATTAAAAAAACTCATTGACTAAATAAAAAATAAAATCAAATGAATAAATTGTAGAATTTAGAAGAAGAGATGAAATAATTTTTCATTCCTATGAAAACCGTATCTTGCTGCGTATTCTGTCTCCGTCTGTCTATCCATCCACGCGGAAATACGGCTGTCTCGTCCTTTAATAAAAAAAAAATGGTATTATAATGATTTTGTTTCCAAATATCAAATTACGGTGCGTTCATATCGTCATGCTTACGACGAGGCTTATATCTTACTTTATATATATATACACACACACACATATTCGAAAGAATTATTTATAATCTTTTCAAAGTAAATAAATTCACGCACGCACCAGATTTCCCCTTTCCATATTCTCCTACTTTTGCCACCAAATCTATTGAATCAAATAGATTTGGTAAGTATTATTATAGAATTATACGTATATGTGTTTAGCTATTCTGCAACTATAAAGATTGGCATCTTTAGAGGTCGTATCACATAGAAAAAGAAATAATTTTAAAATCTTCTTTTTTTGTCAAAAAATTTGTTTTCCATTCCTTTAAAATCTACAAAACTGTACCAACTTTTACAAAATGCAAGCTAAATAGCCACCATAACCTAATTTTAAAATCTTATGCAATGATATACACACTTTCTAGAATACGTTGCGGTCGAGGTGATTACAAGTTATTATTATTATTATTATTATTATTATTTATCTTTTCTAATTTTGAGAACAACTGCGAACGTATTATTATCATTATTATTATTCTTTCATCAAAAAAAAAAATCATTATTATTATTCCTTTTTTTTTCTAATTTTGAGAACAATAGTGAACGGGAGAAAAAATATTTCCGCCTACGCGGTCTTGTTCTGTTCCACGTGTAGTAGCCCACCAATGTTGTCCACGTGGGGTTCTGTCCGTTGCTCTGGGGATGAAGTGGGACCCGCTCTTATTTGCTTTTTCAGGATTTTTCATATTGACCCCCAACTTTGGGCCACGAGATTATTCATTTATTTTTAAATTATCCTAAAATACCCCCAATAGTTCAAAACATTTTGCACATTCAACCTTATATTCTGATTATTTGCTATTACCCCCACCTTATCAAATTGCATTGAAACAAAGTATGCGTCGCATACATTCACAGATTCAAATCCAATAAAATTATACAAAGGTTGGCGGTCAAACACACAACAGAAAATGAGAAAAAGATGGTGAAACTTTGACACTACAAAGACATTCCGTAGGATTTTGACTAAACATTGAATTAAGACGAACGAACCACGAGGACCACTCTTTCACTCTAATGCTACGGGATCAAACAAATAATTTTAACGTTGGAAATCTTTTTGTATGTATATAGATGAAGAATATAAGCCATAATAATAAAAAAAAATACAAACAGATGGATCCCATCTTCATGCTCTTCCAAGATTACAACAATCATAATTCGAACGGTGAAATACAAAAGCATATATAGGTATGTATATATATATATATATGTATGTATAGCTGTCCTGTCAGATTCAGACAAAATGAACATGAAGATAGATTATCCTTTATAACTCACAGATTGAAGCTCAGGAGAACACAGTTCAAAAAACCAAAAACAAAGACGGTCCCTGAGAAATCTCACTACAAAAGGTAAACGGCGTCATTTGATGATCATATAATTAACAGTTCCTAAACCAATTCCAAAAAGAAAGAACAAAACAGGAATCAAACGCTGCAGAGAGAGAGAGAGAGAGAGAGAGAGAGAGAGAGAGAGAGAGAGAGAGAGAGAGAGAAGTTATAAGCTATCAATCCACCGGCTAAGACATTAACAACCGTTTGATCCCCGTTTTCTGCTCGCCGGTGAGCCTTGACGGGAACTTTATGTTGAATTTGATTCTCAAGTTCCCCCTTTTCAAAGGGTCCTTTGGAATTGGCATGCCTTCCCCCTTCACGACCTCTTCGTACGAAGGGCTGATCACGTTGTTGACAGGTACCGTTAATGTCCGCCCGTCCAGGGTCGTGAGTAAGGACGAGGTCATTCCCGTCTCGTTTGAAAACGGCGTGAGGCTTCTCATCTATGATGAAGACAAGATCCGACGGTATGATTCCTCTCTGCTCGTTTCCTTTCTCCGGGAACGTTATCTTCGTCCCTTTCTTCCACCCGGGCTTGATTTCTATTGTCAAGATCTCCTCCACTGTCGCGGGTCTCCTGCAAAATTGAAGAATGACCTTACCGTTAGTCTGCATTGTCGATACATGGATTGGGTATTCACAAAAAAGATGAAACTTTCTCAGATTCACAAGCTCTTCACTGTACTTATATCGAACACAGATAGATCAGACACCTCAATCTTTTATGATTCAGGTTCACGGAGGCTGTTTGTTTAGAAACCAGATTCAGAAAATCTATTAGCTAAGATGATAGTGAATCCTGATCTATATATTATAAGTTCATATACTCATCAATTCCTAATATCCAAAGCTCAAACATTCAGACATTTGGCCATAGAGAACACCAGTTCAGACTCTGAGTGGGTTCACATTCGGTCACAATCACAAGGAACAGAACCCAGACACCAAATCCATCCAAATCTGGCATGCCCATAAAATAGAGACCAAGGAATAAAATATTTGTAAACCAACACAAAAAGCAACGAATTTTCCGTTGTTCCGGTTGCCCAGCTCCTGCTTTACAGTTTCCTGAATATCGAATAGAGTCAGATTGCTCAGTGCAACATGGACATATATACCCATAGATCACAAAACCCCACAACTCTATATACTGATGATCCAGCAAAACTTACACTAGACTAACCTAGCCACCACCGTTTATCTATACTAAGGCCAATACACTGATCTGGTAGTTACCGAATTCGGGACAAAAAAGGCCTGAAATTAGCTAAGAGACAGATAAGAATGGTAAAAGGAAATGATTATGAACCGTACCCGCTAGAGTCGATGACATCCCGTGAGATCTTCATCTTCTTGGTGATTCCTTTGTAAAGATCCTCCAAGCTACAAGGCAACTGCCTCTCTATTGGAGCTGCCTTCCTCGGCACATTCGAGGGTTCTCCAGCCGGGGACCTGAACGATGCGAAGATATCTTCGCCGAACCGAAACCCAGAGGGGCCAGCACGTGAGTCACCGCCCATGCCGAAGGGCCGTGAGAAGCCAAAGAACTCGGAGAAGATGTCATCGGCGCTTCTCGGATTGAACCTGAACGACGTCGGACCATCTGCTCCTCCTGGAAATCCGCCGGTGCCGGGCGGCGGAACCTGATTCTTCAGCCCTTCTTCTCCGTATTGATCGTAGATTGCTCGTTTTTGGGGATCGGACAGAACCTTTCATAAAGCAATAATGGCGGAAACCGATGAATCCATGAGAAAGACGGATGTAGAGGGAAAACATGCGACAAAGCTTATTTTTTTCCCCCGACAACGTGAAAAGGTCTACGATTTACAGAAAACATCGTCATCCAATGGAATTGAAATCCTACGCAAGTTCCCGGACTGAAGCTCCGATAACATATAAGATTGCCCTAAAAGGTTTAATTTTTTATGCCTAAGAAGACACTTTATCACGACACGAAATCACGCGAATTGCAATTACCGATAACGGGATTCGTTACGCAATAGAAAAGCTTAAGTTATCAAGAAGGTTTTACATCGTAAGCTTCAGAGATCTGCTTGAATTTGGCCTCGGCTTCTTTTTTGTTGTTAGGGTTCTTGTCTGGATGCCATTTCATGGCCAGTTTCCGATAAGCTTTCTTCAAATCGTCATCTTTGGCGGCGCGATCCACCTGAAGAATCCTGTAGTAATCGATCCCCATAGCCAAAGCTTCTTCTTCTCCTTGTTCTTCGTCGTCCCTCTCTCAATCTTCAATAGAAACTCGGCTACACCAGGAAACTGGTTTTGCCAGATTGGTTCATGGATTCGTTTTTTCGGAACTCAAAGCAAGCCTCGTGGGCTAATTGTATGAAAGCCCTATTGTTCGTCTATCCGTAACAGGCCCAGTAAAATTTATTTTGGCTCCCCTTAATTTCTGGGAGTTTTGAATTTAACCCCAAAATTTATAAAATAGTTTTAAAATCCAAATCATTAACGGAACGGGATTCATTGATAAGCTTATAACTCTCTGTGCTAACCTTTTTTTCATTAATCAAAAGACTGAAGAAATATTGTTTCCACGTGGAACAGCTTTTTCAGATATAGCGGCGGCATGTATTAATTATTAAAGGTCATAAAATTTTCACATGGTTTATTTATCACCAATCCGAGATTTCCGAGGACTTATATGCAAATAAACGAAAACCTTGGCAGTATTCTTATTATAAGGCCACGGAATGAAAAAAGAAACAATAATGCCTTAGGAAAATCTCAAGAGATGGTGGTTCTTCTTCGTCAACCGAACCATATCCACTTATCATCATTGTTTCCAAGCAGCAGAAAGCCATTGGGATCACCACAGGTGATAACCGCCGCGGCTGCAGGCAAGAGAAACGGCCGAGAGCTGGTGCTATCCGGCGAGGTCAGGGCGGTGGAGCCGAAGAAAGCGGCGGAGGCGGTGGCGGCGGAGGGGTACGTGATGTTGGACGTGAGGCCGGAGTGGGAGAGGGAGAAGGCGCGTGTGAGAGGGTCGCTGCACGTGCCGTTGTTTGTGGAGGATACAGACAATGGGCCGATAACGCTGTTGAAGAAATGGGTCCATTTTGGGTATATTGGGCTCTGGACGGGCCAGAGATTCACCACGTTAAATGACGAGTTTGCCCTCCGAGTTCAGGAAGCTGTTCCGGACAAGGAGAGCAGGGTGCTTGTCGCCTGCGGCGAAGGACTCAGGTAAAGAGACTGTTGTCTGAAAACGGTTCTGAATGGAATCTCGATCTTTTGTTTTAAAATATGGATAAATAATAGAAGAGATGATCAGGTCACTGATGGCGATAGCGAAGCTGCACGAGGAAGGGTACAAGAGCATGGGGTGGCTGGCGGGAGGGTACAACAGAGCGGAGAGAGATGATTTCCAGGAGACCGAAGGAAGAGAGGAGCTTAGATTCGCTACCGTCGGAGGTGTATCTTACTATTTCCTCAAGCTGCTTTTACTGTTTCAGACATTCAGCCGTTGAAAACTTGATGGATGAGTGTCCGAATTTCTAGCCATCGATCGCTAAATCAGATTCTCATAATGGGTTTAGAAGGAAGCGGCTGAAAATGAAGAACAGATCATGAAAAATTCACCTAAACCCCAAACAGGCATCTAATCGATGGCTCAAGAGCCTTCTTCTTCTTCCTCCGTACCCTAATGAAACTAACCCTAGTTTCATCCTTTAAGAACATGAAGATACTATCTGAACTCAGAAACATCGACTCCTTAATAACACTAGTCTCCTCGATTCTGTCATGATCAAACGGGTAATTATTAATCATCGAAGAGCACATGGAGGGTTCGTTTCTGGGAATAACAGATAAATCAGGAAAAGCCATACAAAGACATCATCATCTTTTGACGACTCCAATTCAATTCAAGAGAAGAGAGGAGAGATCGCCCGACCAATATCTCTCCTCACTCGGAGCGCTTCGCGAACCTCTCCACCTTGTCGTCGTTCAAATTGATCCCAACCATGGCCTCCCCAAGCCCACTGCTCACCTCCGCCAACATCTCCGGGTCGCTGTAGTGTGTAACCGCTTGCACAATGGCCCGGGCGCGACGGGCCGGGTCACCGCTCTTGAATATACCCGACCCCACGAATACTCCGTCGCAGCCCAGCTGCATCATTAGCGCGGCGTCGGCCGGAGTAGCCACACCGCCCGCGGCGAACTGGACGACCGGGAGGCGCCCGAGCTGCTTGGTCTGCATCACCAGATCATACGGAGCGGCGATCTTCTTCGCGAATGTGAACACCTCGTCGTCATCCATGTTGCGCAAAACCCTAATGTCCCCCGTCACGGACCGCACATGCCTCACCGCCTCCACGATGTTCCCCGTCCCGGCCTCGCCTTTGGTCCTGATCATGGCGGCGCCTTCGCGGATCCTCCTCAGAGCCTCTCCGAGATTCCGGCAACCGCAGACGAAGGGGATCCGGAAATTGTGCTTGTTGATGTGGTGGTCCTCGTCGGCCAGGGTCAGAACCTCGCTCTCGTCGACGTAATCGATACCAATGGCTTCGAGGATCTGAGCCTCGACGAAATGGCCGATCCGAGCCTTGGCCATGACGGGGATGGTGACGGCCTGCTTGATCTCCTTGATGAGCTGAGGATCGCTCATGCGAGCGACACCGCCTTGCGCGCGTATGTCCGCAGGCACGCGCTCAAGCGCCATGACGGCGCAGGCACCGGCCTCCTCGGCGATGCGAGCCTGCTCGGGAGTGACGACATCCATGATCACACCACCGCGGAGCATCTGAGCCAGACCCACCTTCACGGAGAAGGGAGATTTCTTCGTCTCCGTAATAGCGCCGTTTCCGTACACAGCGACGACGCCGGTTCCTTCCATTGTTGCAGGCGGAGAGATGAGAGAGAGAGAGAGATTGGAACTTGGAGGAGAGATTTCTGACCAGTCCTCTTCTATCTTGCGAATTGCCTTATAGTGAGTTGTGGCGGTGTAAATTGGCTTCTTGTTCTTCTTCTTCTTCTTCTTTTTTTATTTATTATTATTTTTTTGGTAATTTCTCGCCGAAAATGGAGGTATTTATGATCGGACGGTCCAGATTAAGGTACACAGATTACATTCAACATTATGACGCTTGCATTTTGTTTCCCTAAAAACGCCACAAGATAGAGACGATCGAAATGGTATTTCCTCAAAATCTATGATTGGAAAATAGTTGTATGCTTATATAGAGGAGTTAGTTATATTTTCTTCTTATGTGTAAATTTAAATAAATTGTTTCTGTTTAGCAAACATACTATACTTTGCTGAGGAAAGAAGAAATACAATATTCGCATTGGCCCAATTTCTATGGTCCCAGTTACGAGTCTTTTTTTTTTAATCCTTTTGTGAAAAGTATTGGGCGTATTTTTATTGGATATTGTAAATTTTTCCTAAAACTTTAATTAATAATAAAAATCCCAGAGTGATGGCGTTGAGACCACTTGATTTATGATGACGCCAAAAAAGGAAATTGGAAAAGGAAAAAAAGAAAGAAAGAAAGAAAGAAAGAAAGCCAGTGGACCATAAAAGTCCAAGACGAATTGAATAGGCGGCTGAGGTTTGCATGGACCGCCGGCATTTCCCTTCCAATCAATAATTTCTCTCCCACAAAAAAAGAGCAAATATTATAATATTATATATATATACACACCTATACATGTATTTTATCGATATGGATATGTAGAGGTTGCAATTGTTATTTTATGTTAACCATTTTGGGTTGATAATTTGTATGGGTTGGGTATTTGGGTTGGACTATTTAAAGGTTTTTATATATTTGGGTTTTGATTAAACCATACATCTTATATTGGGTTGGTGGTCCAACACGGCAACACGTTTTCTTTTCGTTATAAACTTATAACCTCCCAATTTAAAATCAAAGATTACACAAATTCATCCTATCTTACGTATATATAGACCCAGATATACACCATTCTATGTGTCATTTTGAATAGAAGATTTGATTCTTACTCTGGAACTATACCATTTATGGGAATATGATTGGAAATGTATCGATTTTTAATAATATATTAAGACGTGAATTTTGATTAATTTGATGAGAGGGATGCTTGGCAAATTAATACAAACTAATATGAATTTAAAATAATAGAGAAACTAATGTACAAAGTAACAAAGAAAAAGAATAATAATGGGGAAACAACTCAAATATTCCTAAAACTTTTTATTTATTTATTTTTTGTTAAAACGAAAGAACTATTCGTTGGTTTAATCGGATTTTATTCCGATTATATTCAGATTCGGTTATTCGATTTAAAAAAAAACTATAACTGTTTGGTTTTTCATTATAATTCGTTTCGGTTTTGATAAAAATACTTATTTTTTTAAAGAAATTTATTTTTTTTTCAATTTTTTTTTATTTGGATAGTTTCGGATTTAAGTTCGATTTTTTTTTATTTTTAAAATATTTATAACCATTCGATTTTATATATAATTCAGTTCGATTAGAATTATACATTATTCGATTCGGATTTCAATTATTCCATTATTAACCAAATAAACCACCTCTACCCTCCAATACAAGGGCTAATGCCACGCCACTGCCATGTTGTTATGAAACGGCGTCGCAGGTCTAACTTGTTACAAAGCTCTCGAGTTTCCCGACAGGGACAGGGGGATAAGGCCTATTCTCGGAGTTTAATCGTTAAATTTACAATTAAGCCCAAGGCTATCTGGCATCAACATATTAGAGAGTAAGGACTGTTACGTCAATTTACAATTCCCTTCTTCAAATCGCAAGCCCAGCCCCCTTTTTCCTGTCTGGGAACTGAAAGCCAGATCTACAAAATCCCCCAAATTCAATTTCTTATTCGGAATCGAGAAACCCTAACTCGAATCTGGCTGCTTAATCTCTCCATCTGATCCGGGTTCGCGAGCTCGGTACCTAGCACATTGCGCGATGGGCGATTTCAATCTCGCTCTCGTGATCGTCGCAATCGTCGTTTGCGTCCTCGTCTTCATCTCCAGCATCTACCTTCTCGTCAACTACCAGCATCCTGACGATGCGAACCAGGCCTATTTCCCCAAATTCGTCGTTGTTTTTGGTTTGTCCATTGCCATGATCTCAATCCTCATGTTGCCGGCCGATGTCGCGAATCGGCATGCGTGTCGGCATGCGATTTACAACGGCGCTTGCAATCTCACCTTGCCGATGAAGGATCTGTGGCTTGCTATTTACATTGTGGACGCGGTGCTCGTCTTTTTCGTCATCCCCTTCGCCATGTTCTTCTATGAAGGCGACCAGGACAAGTTCGTGTCTCTATGACATCTGTTATATATTCTTATCTGTATATATATATATATATCATATAACCGCTGTGTATACAATTCTATGGGTTGCTAGTTAATAATGGAATGTTGGATGGTTTTCTGGGCTTCAGGAGTGTGGGGAAGAGGATAAAGAGTGCTTTATTGTGGGTGATAACCACAGCTATTGTTTGTGCTCTGGTACTTGGGATTCTATACGGTTAGTTTGTTTCCCTGTCCTCATCTTCCTGTTGATTTGAACTTTTGATTCTTCCTGGTCTAATGGAGTTATCTGAGATCTGTGATGTTATATTGGTTTAGTTGGAACAATAATTCAAACCCATTGTGGGCATGTGAAAGTTTATTATTTTCTATTTTGGTTGCGTCTGCATTTATATTTGAGGATTTAGGTTGTATTCCTTAATTATTTTTCTGCTGATAATCGATTTAACTGTTAGCATCACCATGGAATAGTGTTCCACTAATCTGGTAGATTATATATACGCTTAGTAGATATGCATGGCCATAGACTAGTTATACTTGTAGGAAACATATTGTATTTTACCCACAGAACACAATGGATCCACATAATCGCAATCCACTAAGAGACTTTCAGGTTTCCTTGGTTTTGTATTCCTTTGGGCCTCTGTTTCTATTCTAATGCTTTTCTATGATGTGTTAGGACTCATTGGGAAGGTGGACTTCTCTGTCAGGCACTTGTCTTCTGCCACAACTTCCTTCCCGACAACATGGCAATTTTCAAATAATCAACCTTGTATTGGTAACACTGCTCGTCAGGTAAGATTTTTTCTTGGTTGCATCTTGTTAATAATTTTATCGTGGGTTTACTTGCTTCTTTTGGTGGTAGTTAAGATTGAGTTGAAACAGATTTTTCTTCTTTCCCATGCTTAATATTTGCAGTGCTCAGCATATACAGCAAGTGCTTCATCCGAGAAGACTTGGACTATGCGTACTACCTTTCCAGAATATGTTGTTGCTCTTGCTACAATTGTTGGGTCGGTGCTTTTCATGGTATGAGAGCCCTTCTAACAGTTTCTCTTGGGTTGAGAAGTTCTTTTATTAGCCTGGAAAGCATGTGATCTCTCTGTTTTCTTGGTTTTGAGATGAGATTGAAATTTTTAAAAATGTGTGATGCACGACAAAAAATGTTTTGATTTCCTTTTTGTGTATAAGAGACTTAATCGGCTGTAATTTGTTTTGGTTCTTATAAGACTTCTGCTATTAGTATGTTCTCTCAATTGTTTGTAGATATTTGGTGGTGTTGGTATTGCTTGTCTGCCGTTGGGCCTCATTGCTTCATTCATCAGGCGACCAAAGGCTGTTATCACTAGGTCACAGTATATAAAGGTTCATTTTCATTGGTTCCTGTTGCCTCCATCCTAATCATCTTTTCATAGATATCTGTATTCTCTTTCTCCCTTGCTTAGAATTGTCTGCTTATTTTCCCAGGAAGCAACTGAGCTAGGTAAAAAGGCAAGAGAACTAAAGAAAGCAGCTGATGCACTTCATCAGGAAGAAAGAGGCGGTGCTAAGGGCAGGAAGTGGAGGAAAAATGTGAAAGCAGTAGAAAAGGTAGGCCATGCATCTGAAGCTTCAAAGATGTATTTGAAATTTGTTCCATATCTAGAAATTTGGCAAATTTAGCTACTGGCACAAGTCCTTGGTTCGAAGGCGAGAAGTATTGGCTGTAAAGGCAATTAATGGGATAATAATTCCTAGTTCCACTTCACATCGCTTTATATGTATATTTGTTTCATTAAAATCTAGTAGAAGAAAGTCATATTACTCGCTGTTGTTTTGTAGTTAGTAAAGACTTGGCAAATCTTTCGGGTTGGGCATGCTAGGTGGCGGATTTATAGATTTCTTTACTCCCCTCTATCGTTTACTGCAATTGTTTGCGTTTCTGTACTTAACAGGAGCTGCTTCAGTTGGAGGAAGATGTGAACCTCTTAGAAGAGATGTATCCTCAAGGAGAAAAGGTAAGAAAATTCTAATAAAGTACTTGATTGTTGAATTGTCTTTTATTCAACTATTCAATTATCTCGGCTTTTCAGGCAGAAACTGCTTGGGCTTTCACTGTCCTCGGATACTTGGCCAAGCTTGTCCTTGGAGTCTTAGGGTGAGTACTTTAGTTGCTAGTAATCTTCTTTGTGAAGTGTATTTCATCATGGCCTAAATTTTTTGGCCATTCTGATATTACAGTCTGTTCTAATCATCTGCATTCACGCATATAAGGCCCACTGTTAAGCTTCTTTCAACTTGCGATATGTTGTTGCAGATTGATTGTTTCAGTGGCCTGGGTTGCACACATCATCATATATCTACTTATCGACCCTCCTCTCTCCCCTTTTCTTAATGAAGTTTTCATCAAACTGGATGATGTCTGGGGTAATTTAGTACCTACGTTTGTATCCTTTTTCTTTAATTTTCTCTTGTTCTGACGTACCATATGTTGGTGTGTGTGAAAATTCTCTACTTCATCAGGTCTTCTAGGCACTGCTGCCTTTGCTTTCTTCTGTTTCTACCTTCTGCTTGCCGTTATTGCTGGGGCTATGATGCTTGGTCTGAAGCTGGTTTTCATTACCATTCATCCTATGAAGTAAATTCCTTTACGGTGTTTTGCGTTCTTGGTTATTTTTTCTGAGATCTTTACCTTTTCTTCGGTTTCTCATTCTCATAGGCTCTCATTTTCAGGTGGGGAGCTACACTAATGAACTCTTTCCTATTCAATGTTGGTCTTATTCTTCTTTGTTCCATCAGGTAAATATCTTCGAACTCTTAATCCAAGTACTCGTGTCAAAACTCAAAAGCAGCTGGAAGAAAAAAAAGTGTTTAAATTCTGACGATGGATTATTCTTGTGGGTTGAAATTATATAGTGTGATTCAATTCTGTGCGACTGCATTTGGATACTACGCCCAAGCCACTGCCGCCCAGGAAATCTTTGGCCACACTCTGGAGTCCCTCCGAGGAATTAAGTACCTCTACAAGTAAGTCATGTCTGGTATATAACGAATAGCAGCGTCTTCTTCCATATTAGTGCTAATTGGTAATATATGGACCTCAGGTACAATGTTTTCCAAATTGGGTTTGTTGTTCTGGCGGGACTGACCTTTATATATTACATTGCCTTTGTAAGTCCCTCTCTGTCTCTATATGGCTCTATGAACTTTCATAAACTTGAAGAATGACATGATTTTACGGTATAATCTGGCAGGGATGGAGAAGAAAAAAGGCCAGTGGGCGGTTCCAGCTTTCCTCGTAATGTAAAAATCTTTTTTCTTCTGGATCATGAGGAGTGTGTCGCAGTGCTGTCCACAAATCATCCCCTATTCAAAAGAACGGAGATTCAAGATCTTAATGTTTGGCCTTAGTTTTCAATGTTTATTCGGATGGGTCTAGGGGTTGGTCGGAACATCACACTGCCGAAAGCTTCTCTGCTTTTTTCTCTGGTCTGTGTATTATCATCTTTCACCTCCGCTGCTCTGTATGTATTGTTTATTTCTATCACGAAAGATGCCTTTGTTTTTTTTTGTTGTTTTTGGTTTGGATTGAGCTTGTCTCTTGTAAGCATTTTGACCAGCGAATTTCATGAGTTGTTAGTTTCCGTTTGCGTTTCGAATTTGTTTTAATTAATGTCGTCATAATATAAATACACACTTGTGCAACGGTCGGCTGTTGTGTCTTGGAGACGAAAAAAGTGCGATATTTGTTGAAGAAAGCAGGTTTTACTGAATGTGTACACGTGAAATGGTTAAGAGGACGCAAAGGCTCGTTGTTGGGAGGGCCCTGAGACAGCAGTAAGAGCTCATGGCGACGAAGAAGCATTTGGCGTCATTCTCTAAGTATACACGGACTAATCTACCGGTTCCCGTCTCTCAGCCAGCAATCAGCCTTTGACTTGTGCAGGTTAGTGTGAATTACGGTGTCAATTTAGCTGCGAAACTCGATCCGGTCCAGCCCGAAAATTAGCAAATTTCGGATCTAAATTTTTTGGTAAAAAAAAATCGAATCTTCGGACTGGACTCAAATCAGGTTTCGGATTCGATTCGGGCCGGCCCGAAAACTCAATATTTTAATTTTTTTTTAAAAAGATAACATTTACAAAGAAAAATATATAGGCTAGTCTAATCCAATCTGGTCCGATCCAAACCTAAAATATATAGGATCAGATTTAAGACGTAGTTACATAGATTTAAAAAAAATCGGGTCAGCCCGAATCCGAATCTGGATGCGAGTGCAGACTCGGCACCAGTGTGAATCTTTCTTTAAAAAAATAGAAATAAAAATGCGGATTGAGTCGTGTGTCAGTTTTTTTTTCATATTGTATCTGAGTTTTAATTATATAATAAAACTGCTTTTTATCGGATTATTCGCATTTAACCAAGTTTCATGGGCTTTTGTTTTGTTGATGCTCCGGTTAACTGTTGGTTTTGGTAAACCGAATGTTAAAGACACAAACGGCACCGTTTGGACGACGGAGGAACACCAACAAGCGGATTCGGGTAATCTATTTGGCGGGTGAGAGGTGAGGCAGGCAGCGAAGGAACTGTTGGATATGAACCCTAAATCCTCTTCATCTTCTGAGCTTTTCCCGCCATGTATTACTCTCTTCGATTTCCTTTGCCTCTTACTGTCCACCGAACCCGACGATTGACGTTCTCTATGCTGAAACGGCGCCGTCTCGAGTACTTCTGCTGCTATGCTCAGTCCAGTGTCCGTGAAGACGATGAAGAAGAAGAAGAGGAAAAGGAAGAGAGGTGATGGTTCATCTTCGCATGTTGTTTTTTTATTTGATTATATTCGTTCCTCGGGAAAACGTTCTGGAATTCGCGATGGAAGCCGAAGTTGGTTGAGTAAATTAGTAGCTTTTCCTTTCCATGCATTTTCCCGCTTACCAAACAGGGTTTTGTCAGTAGTTTTCGTGATCGAGGATTCTCCATTGTAGTAGAGAGATACGGAAATGGCGCTTCTAAGAGGTCGGCTTTTAATTTTCTACTCTTTACCTTATCTTCGCAGAACCTCTGCACTACATTTGATTAAACCCATAATTTGTTGTGTAGATACGTGCTAAACGACGAGACTCCCTTACAAGGGCTTCTCGAGGAGCGTGATTCTAAGCATGATGATGGATGTCGGGGTTCAAATCTCTCAGACACGACCATATTTTGGGTTCCAGATGTTGTCAAGGATTTTGTTTTACCTGCTGGTTTTCCTGGTACTTAGTTTAAAATCTGTTTATCTTGTTAACTTATGTGTTGTCACGGATCTCAAAATCGAATGCAGCCAGATGTGTGTCCTCCTACGGAACGTTCTCACACTTGGATAATAAACCGAATAAGTATATAACCTTCATCGAATCGTGCTAAGCTGGATTTGTTAATTTCTCACATAAAACAGTAAACTAGCATAGGTCTTTTAGTCTCTGTGGTAATCCAATAATTGTATCTCGTAAAATTCGTTGCAGGGTCTGTCTCAGATGATTACTTGGAGTACATGCTGCTGCAGTTCCCTACCAATGTTACTGGATGGATTTGCAATGCATTGGTCACATCGAGTCTTCTAAAGGCATGTACAAGGCTTTTAGTCAATTTATTATTTTGGTGTGTGCTCGTAACAAACTAATTCATGAACTGCTAAGTTCTTCCGATGACAATCCCTGATCTCGAAGAGTTTATTAATTTAACGAATTCTCGAATTTCTTGTGTAAAAATGCAGGCTGTCGGCGTTGGCTCCTTCTCAGGTACTACTGCTGCCGCTTCTGCTGCAGCAATCAGGTGAATCTATTCGGGAAGGCCAATCTGGTTTGTATCTGCTATGCTTTTTTTTGGAAAAGAATTTGCAACAATGTGTTGAACCTTCAGATGGGTGTCCAAGGATGGAATTGGAGCTCTAGGCCGCCTTCTCATTGGTAGAGCAACCATGGGAAGATTGATAAGACGTTCACGGGGTTATCTGAGAACTTGTTGTGAGTAAGAAGGGTATGTTTTTCAGGTGGACGTTTTGGGAGTCTTTTTGATGATGATCCTAAACAATGGCGCATGTATGCTGATTTTATTGGTAGTGCTGGAAGGTTTGTCATGAAGCTTTTAGTTCTTATAGATTCACATTTCATCAGAACCACATGAAAATTGGCTTGATATCAACTTCTTTTTCCTTTTGCAGCATCTTTGATCTGGCGACACAACTATATCCTGCCTATTTCCTGCCATTGGCATCCACCGGAAATCTTGCCAAGGTATTTTCTGAAGATGGTTCCTTTTTCTTTATCGGCTGCAATCCTTGATTATTGTAGAGTTTATGAGAACTCTCCATTAATAATTTTGAATGTCAGTGTGAGCATACTAAGGTATTGAGTTTAATTAGGCTGTGGCCAGAGGATTGAAGGATCCGTCCTTCAGGGTTATCCAAAATCATTTTGCAATCTCGGGGAATCTTGGAGGTATAGCAGCCAAGGTATGCTATATACATTCACACAAAGCCCAGGTATAGCTACAGTGTAGTAATGTGTTCACTCTGTTACCAAACTCTCCTTCTTCCTCAATATTTCAGGAAGAAGTTTGGGAAGTAGCTGCTCAGCTTCTTGGCCTTGGTATCGGCATTCTGATCCTTGTATGTTACTTTTACATTTGGTCGTTCCATCGAATGTATTTATTGTGTTGGATTTTCCTAAAATTGTTTCTGGAGTATATGTGGGGACTTGTACTGTGATCTTGATGCAGGATACACCAGGCGTTGTAAAATCATTTCCCATCTTGTCGCTAACATGGTTGAGTGTTCGACTTGTTCATCTCTGGCTACGGTACCAGTCACTTATAGTCCTACGATTTAACACAGTAAGAGTTTCCACATTGGCTTTCCACAACTAGTGGAAATTCGGGCAGAATGAAAATGCTTTTCTTTTCAAATATTACAGGTAAATGTTAAGCGTGCTCGTATACTAGTTCAATCCCATGTTTTATACTCTGTTGTTCCTGGTAAGAAGATTCTTCTTCCCATTTTTCCATCCTTATATTCAGCCTCCAAATGCCACTGACATTTCTCTGTTTTCAGGATATGTAGATGGAAACAGACAAGAAAGCATTTTGATTTGGCAAAGATTCATGAAACCACGGATTATATTTGGTGCCCCATTAGAAGAAATATCAGGGCTGGACAAATCTGTGTCCAAGGTTTTTCTCTATTCTTTTTTATGTATCGAACTTACTTGTTGAAATTCTATTTGTTTATTAATGCGGACTTCTTTAAATTTTTCTGTCCGGCAGGTCAAAGAACTCCTCAAGATATACAAAAAGGAGCAATATATTCTTACATTGAGGAAGTGGGAAAAAGACGCCGAGTTTTTGGTGTCTTTCAAGGTATGCTTTACCAACTTTTGCATGCAGAAATCGAATTCCAATTCCTGTATAGAAGAGTTGATGTTATGTGTGTTTAGGGGGTAGGGTTTGGATCAATTATAAAGTGTCTACGAATGTTGTTGCTTATGAGACTGATTCCCTCTGCACCACAACATGCAGGTTGGGGCGACAAGCACAGCCATCTTGAGGTGTCTTTGGCATGCATACTGGTTGCATGAGAACATGGACGATGGTGATGGTGATGGTGTCTTGAACAAGCTGAAGCGAAGCTTGTATGAGATGGATAGCAAGTTTGAGGATTTCATGCAGAAATTGGGAAGAGCTGGATGGAATATTCTTGAATCTAACTTGAAGGTCCCCAACCACATCCTCATCGATGAAGTGTGAGACGATAGCTTCTGCTCTTCTTCATCATATATCCTTCACAGCGAAAAAAAAAAGAAAAAGAAAAAACAACCACCGAGGTAAACGTCACCCAAAACACCCGTTTGCTTCTTTAACATATGCTTGTACACATTATGGTTTTGAAAATAGTACGAAAGGCGATTACTTTGAGCGTATGACAAATTCATGTATGTTTGCAGGGTGAGTGCAGTGTAAAACTTGTAAACCGAAAGCTGCAATCTTTCTTATGGGGGTCGACAAAAAGCCCATGTGCTTTTGTAAGTTATTGATATTTTTCATGTGTATTTTTTATAGCCATCGTCAAGAGAATCTGTTTTAGTATCTCGTAGAATATTATTGAAGGTTGGTGGATTCAACTATGAAGTTGATATCCAAGATTCCTATGTCAGATTTGTTCATGGATTTCGTGTATTGATGGGGAATAAGAAAGAATCCCTAATCTCAGTAAATTTTTTTAAAATTTTTATAAAATGACTAGAACTAATGGGTTTTAGGAAAAAAAAAATCCTTATTTTAGTAAATTCTAAAATAATATTTAAAGTTTTATTATCTTTAAAAACGAGTGAGAAAATAAAGGGGTGGGCATTTCGGTTCGGGAATTTAGTACTGACCCGATCTTTCCCGAAACCGAACCATACCGAACCGAACCGAATAACGTTTGGTTCTAATTTGGTACACTTTTTATGGAACCGAATGAACCGTTCCCGAATCGAACCGTATGAATACCGAACCGAACCGTATGAATACCGAACCAAAATTCGAATATTCCACTAATATATGTGTAAATATTATAGTTCGGTACTTATTTGGTATTCATATAATGGTACCGTTCCGAACCGAACCGATACTAAAACCGAACCGAACCGAACCGTTTAACATTCGGTTCTAGTTTGGTACACTTTTTATAAAACTGAAAATACTGTTTCCGAACCGAACCGCTTGAATACCGAACCGAAACCCGAAACGCCCACCCCTATGGCTTTTGATTGGGTATAATGGTGGGCAGAGATACGGCTCTAGGGCTTGGAGCAGCTATTGGGCTTATTAGATGGACCTTACAGAGTACGGCCCCCTCATTTTTTGAGTTTAAACTTTTGTTCTCATTTTCAAAGCATAAATTAAACACGCACGCGCGCGCGTGGATACTGTCTCACGCGATGATTGACAGAGAATTCAAAAAATCTAGGGTTTTTTCTTCTCTGGTCGGCGACCCTTCTCGGGCAGCTCGGGCAACCCAAATGGCTGCCCATTGTTTTTTTATTTATTCTTTTAAAATACGAGGGTTTTTCGAGTAAAACCCCTTTATCCTTGATTGTTGCTGAAAACAACCCCAACATTTAGCTAGGTTGAATTAAAACCTAACTTACAGAGAAACATTACTCGCATATATAATACAGGAGCTCGGACATAAAGTTAAGGAATAATTGAAAATAAATCTTAAGAATAGTTATTGTATAATATCTTAACATTAGGTGATAATAGTCAAATAACCGGTGTGATAATAAATCTCGAAATCAATTTTATAATTATTTTATATTTTATATCTTATCATAAATTAGATGAGAAATATCATTGTAATTTTTAAATTCAAATAACCTGTGGTGTAATAAGAATTTTAGGTTTTCAATATTAGATGAAATTGGGAAGCATGTAATAACACTATAACAAACAAGTATTGTTGAATTTGTGATGATGTGAGGGGTCTATTCTGACAAATCAATTGTTATGAGGTGAAATTGAGAGAGCTTTCGAAATTGAGAGGTCTTTCGTTTATATATACCTCCTAAAGCCGCTCTTTCGATCTCATCTCTGTCTTCCCCCAAAATTTTCAAATCAGAGTCTCCCTCACTCGTAGCCTAGGGTTTTGCTGATCTACAGCTTCTGCTTTCCTCGAGCAGAGTTGAAGAACATTTCGCGGAGAAATCCTAGTTCTCGTCTTCTTCTTTTGGGTTTCCCATCCGATATCAGGTAAATCTTTTGCTCCCAACTCTCTTCGAGTTCTCGATTTACTGATTTGTGAGTGGATCTATCCATTTTGTTTGGTTTAGAGTCGCTTTTTTTAGGGGGTTTACATCTGGTCAGCGACTCCTGTTCTTTGGTTACGATTTACCGATGTGTTTCCGCAACTTATTTTTCTTACCAGTGCTGAAGATTATTTATGACTGATGTTCTTTGGTTACGGTTACGAGTTTTTGGCATTTCGGATTGAGCAGTTGGGGAACTCTTGCCGACAATATGTATCTGATTGTATACTATTCATTGGTTTGGATGCTTTGCTCGAGTGTCTTGTTACTACCCCCCAAAAAAAAGGATGAAGAAAGAAATGGGACTTCCTGAACAGTTTTGTTTTTGTTTTTTGTGTTTGATATAACTATCATGGTTCAAGGTTGTTTCCCACAAAATAGAAAATTAGTTTCGAGTTTTGAGTTTGAGTTTTTCTTCAAGTTTACACTTTTTTATGTTATTTGCTCCGCATTTGTGGGCGGTTAATATAAAATTGTTAAACTTTGATTTTTGTTTATGGTTCAAAATTACTGGTTTCGTTAGTTTTTAAATCTGGCTGCCCATTCTTTTGCTGTGGTTTTTGTCGTTCAAAGGGGATAATGGCGATGGAGATCACTCAATTCCTGTTGGCTGCTCAGTCCGCTGATGCAAGAGTCCGTACTGATGCAGAGGGTAGTCTCAGGCAGTTCCAAGAGCAGAACTTGCCGCAGTTTCTTGTATCCCTATCGTTTGAGCTTGCCAACAGTGAAAAACCTGCTGAATCTCGTCGATTGGCTGGTATTTTGCTAAAAAATTCTCTGGATGCCAAGGATGCTGCAATGAAAGATCATCTTGTGAAACAATGGATCACAATAGACACTGCCATTAAATCCCAGATCAAAGATCTGTTATTAAGAACTATTGGCTCATCTGCCCCAGAGGCCAGGCATACTTCAGCACAGGTTATCGCAAAAGTAGCTTCCATTGAGATTCCTCTCAAGCAGTGGCCTGAACTTATTGGGTCACTGCTTAACAATATGACCCAGCAAGGTAGCCCTGCACCGTTGAAACAGTCTACCCTTGAGACTTTAGGGTACGTCTGTGAGGAAATATCACATCAGGATCTTGTGCAAGATGAAGTGAATTCTGTCCTTACTGCAGTTGTCCAGGGCATGAACCAGTCTGAAAACAACGCAGAAGTTCGCCTCGCAGCAACGAGGGCGCTGTATAATGCCCTTGAGTTTGCGCAGACAAACTTTGAGAATGAAATGGAGAGGAATTACATCATGAAGGTGGTCTGTGAGACAGCCTTGGCTAAGGAAGCAGAGATCAGGCAGGCTGCTTTTGAGTGTCTTGTCTCGATAGCATCTACATACTACGAGGTGCTGGAGCCATACATGGAAACGCTCTTTCAGCTTACATCAAATGCTGTAAAGGGGGATGAAGAAAATGTTGCTCTGCAAGCAATTGAATTTTGGAGCTCCATCTGCGATGAAGAGATAGAGCTTCAGGAGTTTGACAATCCTGATAGTGGCGACTCTTCCCCTCCCCATTCCAGTTTTATTGAGAAGGCTCTTCCTCATTTGGTTCCCATGTTGCTAGAGACGTTGCTGAAGCAGGAAGAGGATCAGGACCAAGGTGATGATGCATGGAACATAGCAATGGCTGGTGGGACATGTCTAGGTCTGGTTGCCAGAACAGTAGGAGATGCTATAGTCCCTCTTGTAATGCCTTTTGTTGAAGAAAACATAAGGAAGCCAAATTGGCGAAGTCGAGAGGCTGCCACATATGCTTTTGGATCAGTTATTGAGGGTCCAACGGTAGATAAGCTTGCACCTATGGTATCTGCAGGGCTGGAGTTTCTCCTCAGTGCCACAAAGGATGAGAACAATCATGTCCGGGACACAACTGCTTGGACTTTGAGCCGTATCTTTGAGTTCTTGCATAGCCCGGCCAGCGGTTTCTCTGTCATCTCACCTGAAAACCTGCCCAAAGTCATGGCTGTGTTAGTGGAAGCAATCAACGATGTGCCGAATGTTGCAGAGAAAGTCTGTGGTGCTGTATACAACCTTGCTCAGGGCTATGAAGATGCCGGAGCAAGTTCCTCTCTTCTTTCTCCGTATCTGACAGAGATAATCAAACATCTGCTTGCAGCTGCCGAGCGTACAGATGGAGCTGACTCTAAGCTAAGATCTGCTGCATACGAGACCTTGAACGAGGTTGTCAGATGTTCAAACCTTGTCGAATCCTCAAACATTATTGCACAGCTACTGCCTGTCATCATGACCAAATTAGGCCAGACTATGGAGCTTCAGGTAGTATCAACGGAAGATTGCGAGAAACAAGCAGATATTCAGGCTTCTCTCTGTGGTGTTCTCCAGGTGATAATCCAGAAGCTCAGCAGCACAGACGAGACAAAACCTGTCATAATGCAGAACGCAGATCAGATCATGGTGCTGTTCCTCAGAGTGTTTGGATGCCACCGTTCGAGCGTCCATGAAGAAGCTATGCTTGCTATCGGTGCTCTTGCATATGCAACAGGGCCCGAGTTTGCAAAGTACATGTCCGAGCTGTTCAAGTATCTGCAGATGGGTCTGCAGAATTTCGAAGAATACCAAGTATGTGCGATCACCGTAGGAGTTGTGGGTGACATATGTCGTGCTCTGGATGACAAGATCCTACCTTTCTGCGATCAGATCATGGCCCTTTTGATCCAGAATCTTCAGAGCGAGGCCCTCCACAGATCAGTGAAACCTCCAATATTCTCGTGCTTTGGAGACATTGCTCTAGCAATTGGTGCACATTTTGAGAGGTATGTTGCTCCTGCTCTACAGATAATGCAAGGGGCAGCTCAGGTATGTGCACAGATGGATACGAGCGATGAGGAGCTTATGGATTATGCGAATCAGCTAAGGAGAAGCATATTCGAGGCTTACTCCGGGATACTTCAAGGGTTCAAGGATGAGAAGGCCGAGCTCATGTTGCCTTACGCCCAGCATCTGTTGCAGTTCATAGAACTCGTCTCCAGAGACGCCCAGAGGTAAGTCTCCACATTCCGAACAAGAGTTTTTCGATTAGAATTCTTGTTTTTTTTAATGAACAAGGAAAGAATGTCTCCTTCCACTCCACACAATCTCGAAGGTTATTTGTTTGATGTTTTGAAATGGTGAAAAAGCAGAGACGAGAGCGTGACGAAAGCAGCAGTGGCGGCAATGGGGGATCTGGCGGATGCTCTGGGCCACAACACCAAACCGCGGAGTTCCTGAGTGAGTGCCTTCAGTCCGATGACGAACAGCTCAAGGAAACGGCTGGTTGGACTCAGGGTATGATCGGACGCGTCATGGTCTCCTGATTGATGGATCAACCACACGCAGTTGGTGATGTTATTTTTCCGGCTCGAGTAATTTTTTTTTTATAAAAAAAGGGTATCTTTTATTACATTTGATCATCTGTCCGTCTTGATTGTGGATAGCCGGTTCGATGTTACGAGTAAAAAAAATGTTCTTAAATTTTGGGGTACTGTTTTTTTTTTTTTTTTTTTTTTTTTTTTTGTTTTTTTTTTTTTTTTTTTTTTTTTTTTTTTTTTTTTTGAGATTTGCATTTAGTTGAAGCCGCTTTGGGATATAACTTGATGTGGGGGCTTTGCTGCGTTTGTAGAAGGAAAAAAACACTCGTTTCTTCTTCTGTTTAATGCATCCATTGTTCGGATTCTTGGATCACTTGTGTTTACATATACTCTCTTTCTTTTTGTGGTATAATATTTCTGTCTACCATGTCATTGTGAACAAAGAGCCCATTTCTCCTTTACGGAGCCCATGTTAGGTCGATGTAGGCCCATTACGTAAATGGGCTTTTAGGCTCGGCCCATTGATCATCTAAATCGGAGATGTCGACCCACGACTGCGGAGTCTCTCTCTCTCTCCCTCCCTTTTCGGGTCTTTGGTACACCGGAGGAGGCATCTTCATATAGCAATTAGCAACTTCTCGGTTGTGCGTTTGATTTCTCGTCCTCGAATTTAGCAGGTGGAATTCCTCTTCCTTCTTTCATCCAATTTCGTGTTTCTATTTCCGTTTAGGGTTCTATCCTGCTCATAATGATCCTGTTTTGTCCGGTAATTCAAAGTTCTTGCTTTTTGTGTAATCGATGATCACAATGGATGTTTTAAAACAGAATTCGGTCGAAATGATCATATCTCCTCTCTTTGTTTTTTAGTTGAATCTAGGAGCTGAACTCGTTGAAGAAACACCTGAGGAATCTCAAGTCTCTGGCATTAGAGCTCATATAGTTGAGGTTAGAGAGGAAATATTTCTCCAAAAATCTTGGTGTCGCTCTTTGATTCCCCAACGAAACATCATACGCTTTCGCGTCTTACATTTTGTATTCGGCTTCGGGTTTTGGTATATTTGTTGTGTGATCCGTTTTTTGCTTCTTCTACAGAATGGGCAGTGATCTTGGCGCTTCTTCTGTAGGAATTGGTATTCTGGTGAGTAGGGCTTTAGATTGATATTGATTTATAAAGTAGGAGGAGTAATAATATATTATATGATCACATCCCATGGACCCAAATGCTTAGTTTTGTTGATTGATATGTGATACGCCATTCGTAACAACAGTAAGCAGCTCACAATCCCTTCATATCCATTAGAAAAATTATGCTCTCAGGGACCAACAACAGTTGCAGGAATGAAAAACCAATCTCACACTCTTATTGTTATAACTCCATGCACCATAGCTTCCATTAAAATCTTACAAACTTCAATCTAAAAGCAGAGAGAGCACACTACTACAATGGCAGAACCCAAAAGCTGTGGAGGTTCGGTTCAAGCAGAGCCTAGGCCAGAAGCCTTTGGTCGAAGTGCCAAACTCCTGCAAAGTGCAGACCCGACAAGCAACAATTGATCAGACTACTACGTGAAATGTTATGTTACAGGCACAGGGAAAGGTAAAAGAGGTGTGTGGGTCATCATACCGTGGCCTTTGCCGACCATCCTGAGCTGGGTGATGTAATCCGAGATCTTCTTGATGGCTTCTACCTATTTGCCAAAAGACATCGAGACACAATCAGGGAATTTTCTCTCTGAATCCTTCATGGGTTTCTTCTCCTGGGTTTGGTTTGAAGAAGGGCATACCTGTTCTCCAAGAAACTCGCTCTCAATGAAGTCGGCCAGCTGGGGATCATCGTTCTCTGTTGCCACCTGTTTCCCCCACACCATTTAACTTGTTAACTCAAGACACACCAATTTCGGGGATGTCCGAAAAGGGCCAATCCAATTTTACTGCTTCTGGACAGAAGGGAGCTTACACTGTGGACGTTCAGGAGCTTCTCATTGGTAAGTTTCTCCAGGGATAGAGCCAACTCCATGGCTGAATTCGGCAAAGCATTTAAAAAAAAATGAAGAACAAGATCACACGCGTATAAGAAAGAATGAGACTTGTAGGTGTTTTACCATATAAGGCATCGCCTTTCTCGGAATGCTCAAACTCCGAAACAGGCGACACGATTGGGTGGAGCTTCACCCTCCCGCCTCTCTTGTTCTATATATAACCATAATTAGAGTTTTAATTAGTTAATCCAATAATTAATTACTTGAACAGATCTCGTGTATCTAAAATGAGAAGAATCAACCTGATACTCCATAAGCTTCTCTGCGTGCTCCCTTTCTTCATCGCTCGCCTCCTTGAAAAACCTGCCAACACGAAGAACACAGGGTTATGTTATGCACGTTCCCTCTATTTATTTATTTTTTGTGCGAAGGAGATTGTTACTTGGCGAGGCCCTTCAGAGCGACGTTGTCCCTGTCGAAATACGCGTACATGGAGTGGTACACATACGATACATTGTATTCCACGCTGAAACACAAACGCAAAACCCGTCATCCATCACATCTATGAGATCCGATTGATATAAACGGAACCGATAAAAAGAAGAGATGGGATACTTGATCTGTTCATTGACAGCGGCTTCGGAAGCGTTGGCATAGCCCTGGCGAGAGAGGGAGACGTGAGGAGTGATGGGAACGGCCAGATCTGCCTTCTTCACCTCCTCGAACGGCTGGAACAACACTCCCGTCAACGCCTCTGCCGCCGCCACCACCACCTTCCTCTGCCGGAATCTCACAGAAAACGGCGGCGGGAATGACGAAACTGCCCTTGACGCCATTGCTTTTGGATCTGGGAAACCTGAAGGGTGTTTTCGGGATATTTGTTTTGTTTTGCTGGCGGCGAGGGCTGATGATGTGTGATGATGGGCGTGTGGCAGTCGTTTATATAGCGGCTGTGGGGGAGTTTCGGCCGTTGGATTGGATACACGTGGAGGGATGAGATTGGGGCAGATGTCCGGGCGCGTGGCCGCCTCGTGCTCTATCCAGTGAGGTAGTGTGAACATGCAGATATTCCATCCACGTCATCTCTGGAAAAGGCTCTTGTCTCTTTCCTCTGTGTGAGCGGAATCTCATGTACCATTCTTCTACTAACCTACCTTACCTTCTCTTCCTTTTATTTTTTGTAATAAAATCTGCATTAACATGACTTATGTAGAAATAAATCTGCTTTCAAGGAAACAAATTTCTCTGATAAGAAAATTTTGGTATTTGTGTTTAAAGTAAATCATAATAATTATTTTTATTCTAAATAGAAAAACAGATATAATAGGTAAAAAAAAAACGACCAAATAATTATCGAATTCCGGGATACAGATTTCATATTTTTTGAGAGGGATTAAACAGAGAATATAATATATATTTTTTCTTGGTGCTTCCTAAGATTTAGATGGGTTGTTTTGAATATTCAATCCCTTTTATAAATAATAAGTTGCAAGAGGGCGAGTAGATGCGTGAATGGGTCATTCATTTTGTCCTCATCCGAGACAATTGCACGTTGGAACAGAACAAAGTGGGCCTCACAAATGTCATGTCCCAAAAATTACTGACTGTGATAAATTTCACCTTTCATCGGTGGAGGAATTAAAAAAGATTGGCAAAATCTTTTAATTTAAGGTAAATTTAGAAATTCATTGATCAGAATCTTTTTTATTTTTATTTCCTTAAAAAAAATCTCTTTTTTTTTTAATCCATCGATTCTGTTTGTTGGGCCTTTTTCGGGTTGTCGGCCTCTTTTCATGAGATTAATTAATTAATTTGTTAGAGCAAACGGCTCGGCCCATTCAATTCAATTCATCCGCGTCGTTGTCGGTGCTCTGATTTCTTCTTACATTCGAAGGACAAGCTCTGCGGATTTCTCCTGTTTGCTTCCGCCATTGTCTCCGATGACGCTGAGATGGAGCCGAAGAAAGTCTCGCCTTCCTTTAGCAGGCCTTCTCTTTCTTCTCGCTGTGACTCTGATGATTCTTTACAACGAGCGTAGCATTCAGCAGATTCATGGCGACGCAGATCACGACGACGC